TTATTTAAAGACAGCAAAGGGTCTGTGGCTAGCAAGTTAGAACGGACCGTTCCATAGAGCCCATCATCCAAGCCCATCAGAAAAATGTGACATCGCTCATCTTCTTTGCATTTTTCAACCTTTGCTGCAACACCACATGTGCACCCTTTATAAGTGCAAGTTAATATTGGTTCATGGTTTGCCAAGTCATCCCACAGAGCATTTAGTTGTCCATAATAGGCTACCATGGACAACTCTCCTTGTTTGGATTATGCCAATTGTGATTTCAATTGTTGTATTTGTGGACCGTTCACGATTGAGGAACACTCCTTTATGTCGTCCCAAATCTCCTTGGCGATTTCCAAGTATGACATAGTCGTTCTTAGAGTTAGCTCTACTATGTTCAAGATCCATGACACCATGGCTTGAGCAATCCACCATTCCTCTAACTTTGAGGATCCTTCTTTGGGTTTCTCTATGGTTCTATCAATGAAGCCTCATTTTCTTCTTACTCTCAAAGATGTCTTCATAGCTCTAACCCATTAATCATAGTTTTTGCCCTTTAGCTGCACCTGCATGATCATGTTCCCAGGATTATCATTGAAATTGAAATCATGGTGACAACTTCTTCTTCTGAGTTTGTTTGTCTCCTGTCATAGAAGACTTTGATTGATCTTCTTTTCCATCCATAGCAGCTGCTAGGTTTGTTTTTCCTAGGGTTGTATGACTTTGATACCATGTAAAAGAATGGATTAGATGTTTTTATTCCTTTAGGAGACATAGTTTATATACACAAATGGATGCCTACAATTTCTCCTAGGATTGTGCCTCTCATGTTATAAATATTGATACGCTACTAAAATTATTTACAACATGTCTAATTACAACCATTATAGAAATCAGATTTGATATGCCTATGATTGCAAAGTAATAGAGGTTATGTCAAATATATATTTTCTTGCCAAATATAGCTTAATAGATTGAGATAATAAGTGTAACACTCTGAATTTAGTAATAATATTTTGATTATTAATATGAGTATGTGTATTGTTAATTGGATGTACATCTTGATTTATGTTGGTGATGTGGACGTGGGTATATAGATAAATGTATGTGGGTGTTGACTTGGATTGATTGAAGTTGGTTGAAAATATAAACTGAGGGTAAACTGTAGGGGGTTCTCACTGTAGCGAGAAGGCACTGGGCGAAGAGCATGAAATTGTATCGTTCTTGCTGTAGTGAGAAGGTATTGGGAGAGAGGGGTGAAACTGTTACATTCTCGCTGCAACGAGAGGGCGATAGTGGAGGGTGCATTTCTGGGTGCAGTCTCATTGTAGCGAGATTCTGCAAAAACCAGAGTGCAGTTTCCTCTAAGATTTTCGATGTAGCGAGAGAAGGTGTCACTCTCCTCGCTGCAGCAGGAATGTCGTGACACCTTATGTATTTAAGGAGTTTAGGGTTAGGGAAAATACATTCTCACTTTCCTCTCTTCTCTCTCTCGTCGCTTCTCTCCATCCCTAGCCTTTTTCACCGATCAAATCACCCCTTAAGCCGTTTGTACCATAGATTGAAGATTGGAATCATGTTTAGAACGTTTGGGGGTGAGTATTTTGAGTTAGAGTTCTCGATTTTTACTTTCTCTTCATCTTTCTTGATTTCTCATGGATTATTCCATGTATTTAGGGTAAGAATTCGTGTAAGAAGTGTTTCTATCGTTGATTTCATGGTGGGTCTCCATTCTAAGGTAAGAGGGAGTTGATCCCAAACCTTAACCTCTCTTGAGTAGTTTAAAATGGAAAACTCTTACCTAATTTTAATAACTATCTAAATGTAACTTGTAATAAAGGCTTTAAATACAACTGTCTTTGAGAAATACTACAATTTTACTAAGCAAACATGTTTAGAAATAGTTGGGATGTGTCATTTGATGTTTTTGGAATGATATGATTATTATAGATGGTGTTTAATTGCTAAAGTATCCAAATGAGTAAAACTATGTTATTAATGCAAGTGTTTGAATGTTCTTGAACAAAGAAAAGTTTTCTGTGTGATGTAATATGATGGTGGAATTTGTGAGAAAAGTGATTATAATACAGGAGTTAGAATATATGAATGGATGTAATTGTAATACAGGTATTGTAATACGGCTAGAAGGTGTACTCATAATATATGTATTGTAATACACCAAGTTATGTGGTCAAAACTCACATATTATGACACGTTTCGCTGTGAAAAGAGTATGGAAAAGAATGAGAAATGTTGGTGATGAGTTTAGATAGCTACAGAGATATACTAGAGGTATAGAGTTCAGAGAAGATTTAGGAAATCTTGGAAAAATAAAGGTGGTGAATGTTCAGTGTGAACAAGTGCACAATGATTTGTTGAAAGTGGAAGCATTCACAGGCCACACACTTATTTCCTGACAGGTCTTCTGACATACTTTTGCTAAAGAGTCTGGGACAACACACGTGTATCCGTGTTGCTGGGGCTAGCCAGTGGCTATCTAAGCTATGAAGTCCTCAAGAGATCCTAGGGGCATTGAATATGAAAGTGAAAATAATGTGAAAGTGTGATGTATGAAAGTAGTATAGAAATGGTATGATTATAGTATATGTATTGTAACATATCAGTTGATCTTGTTATGATATATGTGTTGTAATATATCAACGAGTGTGATTAGGACACATATATTGTGACATATTGATCGACGTGAGATAATACATATATTATGATGTATGGATTAGTAGAAAGATGCATGTTATGAAAGTTTGGAAATATGATCGATTATCTGTTTTGTGTGTACTCTTTTATGATAGTGAATTGTATGAGTTGAGTGTCAGTGTTAATTCAATCCATGTTAGAAAGTATTTTATATATATATATATATGATTATTTTGCTTAGTGGGGTGAGAGATACTCACACTTACTAACATTTTCAGGTAATGGAAGTGAAGAGATAAAGATGTTTGACTCGTCCTAGGACCATAATCCAAGAGTGTTGGAAGGAAGACTACTCTGCAGGGATTTAGATAATTTGAGAAATTTTATTGTTTTATCTAATTATATTTCGTGTTGACCAAAGTTTATAAATGATTCAATGTCAGATTTTATAACTTAAATACTCGAGCAAATCTTGGTTGTAAAGAATATTTTTGGAAATGTTCTTAGTGGAAACTCTAAATTTGTATATATTCAATGTAAACCAAATAAGTTGCTAGATGTAAATTTAAGTTTTATGTATTACCTTTAAAGCTTCAAACTCATTCCCTTGGAAATCCTAAACGTTTTGGAATTTTATGTAACTTTCATGAGAAGAAAGTGTAAGTTTTGTTTTTATAAAATTCTCAAATCCATGAATAAGAATAAATTTATTTATTTTTATCTATTTTTTATTCATTATAAATTTATTTATTTTGAACGACAAAATTGAAGGTGTTACAATAGGCATATGTATGGAGAGGTCTATGTATTTGTAAGTTCCAATAGTATCAATGATTTTCCACATTTTTTTATACCTTGACTCTTTTTTTTTTGGAAATTTCAACAATTTGCTCTTTGACTCTATCCATTGCTTTATAATATGGCATGACTAGTTTTGAATCACCATCTACAGGTCTAAGTACTTTCACAACTAGAATTACACACTTTAGACAATATTTGATGAATTTTCAAAATTTATCATCACTCAACACTATGCTCATCACTTGCTTAGCCTTAACTCTATTAGCATAGAAACTAGAAGCAAATTCTTCTTAAACAAACATAAATCTAAGAGCATTTTTTTTTGTTGCATAATACAATTTAATGCGAAATAAGTTACTACAAAACCTTATTACGATACTCCTTTCTCTTAGAATGTTTTTTATACAAATTAAAGATTCATGTATGTCTATATACATAAATTGTGATTTTCTTTGCATTTGTAATGGTAGTATAGAAAGTTGGATGTATATATGTAATAATATCAACATTTATAATAGTTAATCGTAAATTTTGTTATAAATGCACATAATATTAAATATAATTAGTCAATTTTATTTTATATAGATAGATATTAGCTAGACTATTTTTCTTCTAAAAAATAATATTTTTTCTAGTAAAGTTATGAATTATTTCACTTTTTTCTCAATTTTCTTATACCTATGTTGTGTCTGTATTAGACGCACCAGTAGTCATGCAACATAGATCTAAGGGATCTAATTTTTATACGATTTGCTTTGGGATTCTGCAATTTATATGATACATTCATATTCTTCCAACTCAGAATATATCTCTACTAAGTGTTAATTTGGTTTAAAGTTATGTGAAGTTGTTTCTAAATCTTAAGATTTATGTTTAAATTAATTTAAATTATATTTTTAACGGGAACATTTTTTGTTATAAGGTTTGAGAACTTATTTGGTAACTTTAAAACAAATGGGTCCAAAATCCTTGAACCTCGTACCGCTGTAAGCCATTAACTGAAACACAACACTTTTGGACTTTGATCCAACTCGTGTCCCCTAATGTATGGAAATACACACGCAGGGATTAACCGTTACAGCTTATAGCTTCTAAAGTACTTTTGAAATTAGGTTAATATTTCTAGTACTAGTATCAAAGAGGTTGGTCTTATCTTCATGAATCATACAATGAGGTATGGCTTGGGGAAACAAGGTCAATGTCTGAAAGCATGAGAAGCTGATTTTATGTTTGAAAGCAACACACAAACAGATGTATAAATGTACGTACTGCTTTCAAACGTAGAATCACCTTCCAATGATATATCAGCCTCAGGTTTTATGGCATGCCTTGGCCTTTTCACCTCTCTTAACTTGTCTTCAAAAGAAGAAACAAACGAACAAAAAAAAGGCAAGACTTGATTTGCAAGCAGCAAAAAAGATTTGAAAGCATGATGACCCATTGAACTCAAATATTCTCTTTCTTTCAAATCCAAGTAATCAATAAGAATGCAAACTAACAAGTAAATAGCAAAGAGAGGAAAGGAGATGGAGGTGTGCCTAAGTCTACTACTAAGCATCCTAAAAATTTGGACCAGCTGCAAGAATCTCTTCTGTCAGTTTGTTGTCCTCGCCAATTTTGTGATCAGTGAAGGTTTCAAAATTATTCTTGAATAATGCAGCCAACTTCAACAATGTTTCTTGGTAGGCTTCTTTGTCTGACCACTACAATCAAGTAAAATTTCCAATTAATTATATTAAAAGATTTTGCAAGTAGAAAAAGAGTATATTAAAAGACTTAAAAAACAATTTGAAAAAGTGGAGTTCTAGGACAACTCACTGTGTTCTCAGGGTCCAGGATTTCAGAGGGGACTCCCTCCACTTCAGTGGGGATCTCAAGTCCAAAAATCTCAGTCTTCTTGTACTCTGCGTTCAAGAGGCTTCCAGAGTGAATAGCATCAATTATTTTTCTTGTATAGGATAGTTTAATGCGACTTCCATAACCATAGCTGCAGTTTGAAAAAAGCAAGAACAAAGTTAATTTCAGATTTTATAGAGGGAAAAAATATATATTTTAATGATTACATCGATAAGGGGTCGGTTGCTAAAAACATTTCCATTTTTATTTTATTTTTTCACTTTTAATTGCAAAATAGTAACTTTTTTTATTTTGTTTCCTATTTTCACTCTTTCTTGTAAATTTTTAAAAACAGGAAACAAAATAAAAAAAGATACCAATTTTATAATTAAAAGCAAAAAAAAATAAATAAATAAACATTTTCAAATATCAAATATCCCCTCAGCATACCTTCCACCAGACCAACCAGTGTTAACAAGCCATCCAGTAGCACCATGCGTCTGCATCTTTTCAGCAAGCATGGCTGCATACTTTGTGGGATGTAGCATTATAAATGCTGCACCAAAACAAGCTGAAAATGTTGCCTGTGGCTCCTTTATACCCTCCTCTGTGCCTGCCACCTTTAGTTACCATAAAGATAAAAATCATGAGATATAGAGGAAGCAATATTAGTAAAATAGAAGTGTAGTGAGTTACTTAGACATTACCAAAGCTGTGTATCCACTGATGAAATGGTACATGGTCTGCGACAGGCTTAGCTTACTCACTGGTGGAAGCACACCAAATGCATCGCATGCCAAAAGAATGACATTTTTTGGGTGTGGACCAACACATGGTAACCTTACATTTGGAATGTACTCAATTGGATAAGCTGCACGAGTATTTTCTGCAATATGAAAGACCAGTATTATTATATTAATTAATAACTATAAGCCATGGTTTACGAAAATGAAAGGTAATTAATATATAAGCTACGTGTACATCATGCACTTGTGCCTCATACATTCCTGTTAATTTAGTGCACCATATTGTTTACTGTCTAAATAATATTCAAATTAGATGAAAAAGTCTGCAGCAGGACTACTGCAAATAGAGATTTAACTTGTTTTTATGTTATATCCGTGTCTTGTTCGGTTTCATCCTTATCCCTACATATTAGTAGTTTATTAAACAGCCTCGTTTATTTGTAGGAGTTGACTTCACATAATAGATTAGTGTTTTCAATCAGGGACATCTTGCAAGCACACATTAAGTCGACCATTTATTGGCATGACCAAGTCACAACTCAATCCTTTTACTTTTCGTTAACAGAAACATAGTCCCTCTTGTCAGCTTGTGAGCAAATCAAATGAAAATGATTTTAGTATAATTAATTTAGGGGATAACTTTAGTTGTCTTTAATTTTAGGATGTATTATTTAGATGCATATACATAAAAAAGAAGTGAAAGATAAGGATAATATATACACTATCACATACAATGTCAATGTTTTAATTATTTGAATAATGAACTGCAAATAAATTCCAAGTCATTACTTACCTGTAACGGAATTGTCGGTGTAATCAACTTCTCGTACATGCTCATCAAAAACAACATTCTCCAAGACTGTGTCAATCAAATGAACAAAAATGAATCAAAATGGGTAAAATCAAAGATGAACAGATGTTAAAAGTAGCATAGGATTAATAAATTAATACCTGTACCAAATTTGATTGCGTTCCAGATGTCAGGTTCTTTCTCCCTAGAGAGATCAATGCATTTGGCGTAGCAACCACCTTCAATGTTTGAGACGCCATTCTCACTCCAACAGTGTTCATCATCTCCAATTAAATACCTATTGTGATCCGTGGACAGAGTGGTCTTTCCGGTACCTAATATGATAAAAAATAATTAAATAATCTATGTCCACTTTTTATTTGGTTGGCCTATCATAAAATTTACTTAATAAAAACTGTGTTGCTAGTATTTCATGTTAATCCATTAATTGATACTAAACCTGAGAGTCCAAAAAAGAGAGCCACATCCCCATCTTTGCCCATATTGCAGCCAGAGTGTAAGGAGAGGATTTGACGCTTAGGCATGAGATAATGCATGACACTGAAAAGACCCTTCTTCATTTCCCCAGCATACTGTGTCCCAAGAATGACCATTTCCTTTCTAGCAAGATTAAGATCTATGCTAGTAGAGGATGTCATGTAGTGAGTGTAACGATTGCAAGGGAACTGTCCAGCATTATAAATAGTGAAATTCGGTGTACCAAAATTTTCAAGCTCTTCTGGGGTGGGTCGGATGCACCTGCCACGCACACACCCCAATTAGCCATTTGGATACACACATTTTACAGATTCATTCTAATTTTTTTCTTTTCTGGGATTCATTTCATCCAATAAGAAGGGATGTAAGTGTTAGTTAAATAGATATTCGGATGGTTAAGATTGTAAATGTTAGCACAATACTTGGTGTATATTTGTTATCTTAAACTAGAAAGTGCTAAAAAGAATTAAAATAATAGGGTGCTACTGCGAATAACCAAGAAGAATGAGACAACAGTAATGATATTTTTATTTTTTCCTTATACTTACATGTTGTGCATAAACAAGGAATGGTAAGCTCTGGCAGAGACAATCCTGACTTTGATTCTGTTCTCTGGGTCCCAGTTCAAGAATTGGTCATTCACGAATACCTGAAAACAGGAATATTTTTTAGAATACTACAAATTGCATCCCATAGATAAGATATTTTTGAAAGGGGATATAAATAAATTGGTCAGCAACACTAATGCATTTCACAAGGAAATTCATACAAGGGCTTATCAATAGTAACTCTGAAGATAATTGCAATAACTTGTCATGTTTATGAACTATATATTATCTATCCTATACGGTAAACAAGTGTACGACTAGGAAACCATGAAAATGGGATACATTCACTCCAACTACAAGTAACAGTATGTTGTTGATCGTTGGAGTAGTGTCTATCTCTATTTTAATAGACGTTAAATAAGGGAGATTTTTATAAACACAAATTTTATGCATTACTTTTCATATTATGTGAGAGAATTCTTTCATCGTGATTATAATTTTTTAATGAAATAGATTAAATTTGGAAAATAAGGAAAAGATGGTTAACTAAAAAGAAAAGGAGATCAACCTAAAAAATTAGAGTAATCTCTTTCACATATCTGAAAATTGGTAACTTTTTTTCATACCAGACATGAAGTAGTAGAAGGAAAGATATATCCGAGGAAACTATCATATATATTTTTTTTATATAATCTAAAATGAATTCATCAGCGAGATTATTTAATTTCGTACCATTTTGGTAGTTTCATTTGTTTTGAAAAACAACTCTGTTTTTCTGTATCTTTTTACATATAATTTTTCTTCTTCTTTTCTTTATGAGTGAAACATTTGTATGGATAGTTGTACTACTACTACCTCTATTTTCATCTATTTGTGTACAGAAAGAGGGAAAAAATATTCTTATATATCTAAGTAAAGATTTTAAATAATATTAATTGTTATTTTTTTGTTAACACCTATTTATTTATATAAAAATTTGAAGCACAATAAAGAGAAATGACCTTATCCAAAGAGTTCAAGTAATCGACGGCTCTTTCTCTATTCACCAAGAAACTGTTCTCGTCCATCTCGATGTTAGGGGAACCCCTTCAAAGTATAATATTATGAGCATCAGACAGGGAAAAAGAGAGAGAAAAAAAGAAATACTATGCAAATTATTATGAAATAATTAAAAAATTTATAAAGTTAATAGACCTAGTAACATAATAACGTGGTAAAAGAATATCATATTTTTTAGGGTACAGTGGTGAGAAATGCTTACTTTCCCCACCAAAGCTCATTCTCAGTAATATCATCCTTCACCACACGCTTGTCTCTGGGACACCGACCCGTCTTGGCCCCAGAAAGAGTGGCCAACGCCCCAGTCGAAGTAATGAACGATCCTTGCTCATACTTGATCGCTTGTTCATACAGTTCTGCACCAAATCAACCACTCATATGCTATACAATATCACGTTAATTAATTAATAATTGTTTATATTAATGTTATCAATATTATATATGTCATTGCAATGCTTGAACAATTCTTTCATAGGTGATGCTGACTCGTTTTCGTACAGCACAAGTACAAATGATGTAATACCTATCTGTATCATCAATTTGTGAATTACAATAACACACAACTAAGATTCATAGGACAGAGAGCAATGCGACCTTATAACACTACGTAAAGAAGGAGCGCTGTCCTATGGCAAGCTTAGGTGGAAAAAATAATAAACGTACACGACAGGTCCATTTTTAATTTATGAAAGAATGACAAAAATAAATATCTTATTAATCAGTATCTTTTATACAATAATTAAAAAATTATAACACATGTTAATAATATTTTTGAAAATATAATACATAATAATATTTCAAATAGTTACACTGAAATTTAAAAGTAACAATAAATTAATAATATTTTGAAAATTATAAAATAAAAAGAAATTGTAAAAATTAAAATAGAATAAATTTAAAAAATAAAAATATATTTAACTGAAAATAATAAAAAGGAGTTGAAAGAGAACCTGCGGGGGAGAGGTTGTAGAGGACATGTGTGAACTTCAAGGCGCTGTCGCTGACATCAATGGTGGGTGTGACACGGTGGTGCGGTACGTGAGAAACCCTTGAGCCTTCGAACCTCCTATCTGGATCCCCTTTCACTACCTTGGGTCCATTTTCTCTTGTCAGGGACGCCAAAGATGCACTGAAGAATGATGAATATGGTCACTGAAGAATGTTATTTTTATAATGACAAATAAATGTTGCTTTTACATTCCAAGTTGTTTACACTATATTTACGCTGCTTTTTTTATGGGAGAAAGAATAATGGAATAAAATTTTTAAGTGTGAGAAAATCGCTTATACGTAACGTGATTAATCGTTCAACCTTCATCTTTCATCTAGTTTTGGCCATTTTGTGTTTAAGAATCTATTAGAATTAGGGAAGACAAAAGCTAAACCCGTTATTATTAATGGAGTCGCCCTGCTTCCACGTTTTTGTTTCCTACCATAATTTTCTCCTTAAAATTTGTAGGTTGTCAAGTCAACTAATTTATTATATTACTGGCACATAACAATATTGCAAGTGAAAATAAAATCCCAATGACTCAAATGGCTTTTCTGTGGTTTTAAGAGTTAGAGTAAGCCTTTGCACTTTATTTAATAAATTTCGTTGTTAGTAAAAAAATTGAAAATAAAATACTATAACCTGAATGGGATCCACCTGAGATAGAGATATCATATAAAAATGGAAAATATTGTTTTTTATTTTAAATATGACAAAAGTAATACGTCAGTCACTAGATCCTCAAAGGTAGGAAGAAGAAGAAAGGAGAAGATATTCTTTTAACCAATTAACTTTTCCACTTTTTAAGGTAAAGAAACGAAATTTTGCTGCATATCTTGAACTAGAAGTTCTTAACACTACTCACATTTTATTCTAAGCATTGCAACTACCCACAATTTATACTACGTAAAAGTGAATAAATTGCATGCATGAGTTTTCTTTAATTATGATAACTTCTTTTAAAATATGTGTTTATAAATAAAGGTGGACGGTGTCACGTATAATGTAATGAATTTTTAGATGTTGAAATAATAAAATAAAACATCTTTGAGTTTGTTCGATGTAATGCAAATAATATGCATTAATTACCTGATGGACTGTAGCTGCTGATGGTGGCGATGATCCTCAGCAAGGGAAAAGAAAGTGGCAGGCTGAGAGCCTTTGGGAGTGTTGGGTGCAGACTTCTTCTTCTGCAGCGAGTGAAGCTCGTCAATTGTTTGAGCTTTCACCGTTGGACCACTTTTCTCATCGTCGCAAACCACGTTCTGCTCATTCTTTTGAGTCTCAATATTCGCCAGTCCCTTCCCACTTCCAATGTTCGGCATCTTCTTCTCTGCACTCAGTGAAAAGTAATATATATTTATAATGTATTAAGCCAATGGACCATAAACACCAAGATTGATTATATATACAGTAGTCACACTAAATATTTTGAAGATGGAGGGAACATACTATGTAAGAACAAGAATTTTGAGGTTGATGGGGAAATGAGGAAAGCTGGACGAATCTAATGAGAAACAAAGAAACTCGTTCAAAGTGTGAGGTTTTAATGGGAATAACGATTTGATGATGGGAAAATGTTGCTCTAAACACTGGTTTTAAAGGCTACGTGTTTAACCAGGGGGGGTTAAACCATGCATAGTTGAGGGAACTATGGTTATATTAGATCACTGCCCATGAGGGTCAAGCTCCCAAAAATAGAAGAATTCCAAATCACACAATATAAGAATTAGACTCGGATGGATAGTCATCATGAAATAGTAATCCCATGGTCCTCATCTCCACTCTAGCTGACTCACGTTGCCCGCAAATTTTGCCACGTACGTGAGAAGAATGTCATTTTGGGACAAAAATAATGAAAGTGTAATTCAATCTCAAAATCCTTGCATTTACACGCAAACAAAGTTCACCAATTCAAACTAACTTGCACATCCCACTTATACACAAATATCAGGGGTAAGAAAATTGTAGAGAAAATATAGGAAATGGTATAATCACAATACATGTGCTAGCTAGAATAAATCAACTCTAGATTCAAGTTCCGAAATTCCTGTGAGACAATAGACTTAAAAGGAAAGGGAATGAATTAAACTTCTGGAATTAAAGTATGTGCTTGATTCGTTGCATGGTGAAACTCAGTTTACACTTTACATCCTTAATTTTCACTTTCAATGCAAATTATGTCAGAAGGAGTTTTTCTTTTTGTCTGAAACGGAATTTTGGGACTATACAATCAGGCCTATGTTTGACATAATAATAAATAAATAAAGATTCCAGAGTAATATTTTCCTTACTTGGGACATATATATATATCACTTAAAAATGTAAAGTTTACCATTTGTTGATACATCCATATATATATGTGACACAGCCAATGTCCATGATACAGAATGCTCCTGAAAGAGACAGGTTGTTGATAATGACAGACGATAACAACTTGTGCCTTCCGGTTCGAATATATGAAGGTATGTACGAAACATTTTTATTTTTTGCCAGGTCGCTTGTAGTGTTGTCTTTTATAGAGCTGATAATAAAATTATAAGTATCCTGCTGATACTTATTTTATTATTATTAAAAAAAATAACTATCTATTTATCAGCTTATATATTCACCTTAACCTTTCATTTTTTATATTCTTTATTGTGTTTTGCCTTTGCTTGGATAAGAGAAAATAGCTTCTCAAGATACTTATCAATAACGGATCATAATTTTTTTTTATTTTAATTTATTTTGACAAAAAAACTCTCAAATTCCCCGAATGACTTATTTATTTTTTAAATAAATTATTAAAATAATATTTTTTAAACAACTTTTATGTATAAAACATTTTTTGTTCGCCGTTAGGTTCGTACATTACATATACAAAACTATTTTTTAAAGAGTTTTACATGTACGAAACTTAAAAATTATGACATGTAAAAAATTGCAAGCGAAACTTGTTTAAAAAAATATAGAATGTAGAGTTTTGCGGAATTGTGCACTACTTTTATGATCAAATTTGTAACTTCAGATTAGATGCACACGTTTGTGATTTCATGACATTTGTATTGAATCTTGGAGAGAAAGAGACTCTTAATGGCACAAGAAATAGCTTTAAGCTTGGAGGATAAAAAACTCTTCATCATTTCTTGCAAAAACAGGAAAAATATATTCCATAAGAGAAAGTAGCAAAAGTACCTTCCAAGAACCGGGTTTCAAAATAATTAATGGTTTCCTTTCCTCAACTTCTACCTGTTATTTGGCTTTATTCATGGAATTCTCGAGTTCCCTGAAGGGACCGTAACCATCTTTGGGTTATTAACTTGTTTCATTGATTTTGTATAGAAGCAAAGGGTGATAGTGGATGGTTAAGTGGAGAAGGAGGCTGAAATGTGGTGCAAAGGAACGTGCACATTTTCTCAAAACCAGCACTTTCAGTTTTTTTTTTTTTTAATTTCTTAATTAAGTTTTGCATATGAAGATACAAAATCATTTAAGATTTTAACATGTGTTACGATTTTTAAATTTCATCATATGATATACAAAACTCCTTAAAATAATAAAAAGAGAAATAAATTGTCTCTCTAATATATGAATTTTTTTTAAATCATATTTACAAGGTCTGAAATTAGTGATGATGTGGCAAAAATATCTAAAAAATTTGTTTTAAAATAATATTATTTTAGTAATTTATTTTAAAATATAAAAAACCTTTTTGAAGTGAGTTTTCATCATATGCTTTAACCTCACGCTTTGTACTACATTAGGTATATGTCATATTAATCTTCAGTTAAAATATAATTTTACTTTCAAATTAAAATTTAATTTTAATTGAATAACAATAGCAAAAGCAATTAAGGCACAATGCCTAAATTTTGTTCTATAATACATTTTTCTCGTGGCAGATGCTGTAGTTGCAAAAGTAGCGTTACGTTTTCGCACGTTTGATAGAAGTATGAGATACACCAAAAAAAGAGCAAGATAGAAGTCAGAGAATACTTGGACAGAGAACAATTTTCGCGTTGTACCAAACAAAAAAACAGAACAATTTTAAAAGATTTATCACTCCCTTAAGTTATATTTCCTAAAAGTACCATAAATTTTGAAGCCGTGTTAATTGTTGCTGACGTTTGATTTAGGATTAGTTTTGCATTCTGAAAATGCTAAAATAGACGTAAAATGTTGTGCTAGTTTGTATTCCAGCCACTAAACAAATGGATGAGTAGAAAAGTAAAAGTTTAAATAATTTCTTTTAATGTATTTGACTCAAATTTATAAGTTCGTTTTTAATCTACTTTTAAACATAGTAAGTGATACTTTTTAACTCCTTTTAATTTTACCTTTAGCCTCTATAAATTAACTCATACCAAATGGAACTCGAAGAAACTCATACTAAAAAGAACCCAGAAAATATTTTCAAAAGTTAACTCATATCAAATAGAATCCAAGAAAACTCATACCAAATAGAATTATAAAGAAATGTATTCAAACTTACACGCTATCATTCTGGAGACTACCACAAGATAAGGCTAAAATTAAATTAAGTTGAAGAATAACGACATAAACTAAATTAAGAATAATGTAAAATAAAAACTTATTTATAAATTTTTTACATGTTAGAATTAAATTAAAAATTTGAATTCACTGCAAGAACTGAAAACTTATTTTAACAAAAAATAAACTATTAATCTATTTATGATATATTAAAAGAGTATTAAAAAATTAATTTATTAATAACTCATTTAATAAAAATTCAGTCAAACTATTTATCAATCATTTTTTATGATTAGATATTTAACCCATCTATTGAAAGCATATTATATACATACATACATATATATATAGAGAGAGAGAGAGAAAAAAAAAAAAAGCTTTTTTTTCTTATAAAATAATATTCAGTATCTATGCTTTCTTGCGTCCAAGCACTAGAGTCTAGTTTTCATCCCTTAGAAATGTAACCCATCCATTTAAAATTATTATATTTTTTAAAACGATTTTTTTATTACAAGATAATGTTCAATATTTATACGTTCTTGCATCCAAACACTAGTCTAGGTCTCGTCCCTTAAAAGACTTTTGCTTAACCAATACATTTCAGACTATATGACCCAATGAATTAAAAAATATATATTTAAGGGATTCATTATTCATCTAATAATAAATAATGATTGATTAAATCTATCCATTAATTTTTATTTTTATCATTGGATTGGTTGAATTTATAGATGAGTAGATTAGATAGCTAGTGGATAAAATGAAATGAATTGCCAATCCTAATAAACAATAGGTTTATTTAAAGGAGTCTTGACAAATAAAAAGAAAATATATAGGTAAAATAATTATACAAACTATAAGAACAAAATATTTTTGAGTTATTCAAAAAATGGGGCTAAATACAAGACCAGTCTCAATCACATTTTTGTTCACATTTCACCAAGAAAGAATTATCTATAAAGAAATTACAGTTCCATGTGAAAAAATTACAATTCATGAATAAATCATACAGTATCTATCTATATCCATGCCTGCAGGAGCTAGCTCATCTAGTTTCCTCCATCCATGACAAACATGAAACTTGAGTTCAAATGAGGGCTACGCATAAGTTTCTTAGGTGCCTACTAATCATAAACCAGGGCATCATCCACGTACTCACCTTGAATTTTGATGCTCCAAAAAGAAATTATCTATATCCGTAAGAGGAATCAGGTTTAACTAACTGGTAGTACTCTTTCAGCCCATAGAGTTCGCTGAAACACCAAAGTGTACATCGTATATGTATTAATAAAATTTCGAAACAATGTGAAGTTAGTTACAACTTAACAGTTTCAACACGATCGATTAATACTACTATTAAAATTAAAAATGGGAGACAGAGAAGCAAAATTGTAATTAAAACAAAGTCCAAAAGTCACTTTAATTACAGTGTGATTTTTTTTTTCATGCAAATTACTTTTGCATCACCATTACGGAGTGCCACCAGATGACAATATAGAATTGATAGTCATAAGCAGATGTATATCAAGAGGACCAGAAAACGTCTCAGTAAAAAAGGCTATATTCACTCTCAAGTAGAATTACTTGAAATTTTCAAAGATAAAAATAAATACATGGAATCAATACATGTTTTCATTGATTCGATCCAAGATACCTGATTTTTTCTATAAGCTAATGCTAGTATTTGTGCAGGGTATAAGACCCAATAGCAAAAGATCAGATAATATAAAGCCTAATAGTATAGTGTAAGTTGTAAACAGTTCTTATACTATTCAACGTTTAATGCACCAGAGAGTATCATTTTGAATGTTGGCACTTTTGAGTAATAATGGGTCGCGACTGCAGCAAGATGATCATTGTAGAAGGAGAATCAGTGGGGGTGAAGCCTATAGTTGATTACTAGATTTGTGATCAGAGTATTGTGTTTTTCACCAAACTAATATAAAATAACCCGCTCAGGTCATAGCATGCCTCCTCATGCTTGATAAATTTATCCTATAATCATTGGATAAATTTGGGATAACTGGATAACTTCATACAATCATATGTAACATGTTCAAAGGTTTTGGCCAAGCAAGAAGGGTAAACTTTCATGGCAAGATATTAAATTTGCCACCAATTTGTGCCATAGGTTGGAAACAAATGCTCAGATGGTAGGCATGCAGTGGGATTGACAAGGTCGTGTCTTTTAATGTTTTCCTTTGGTTATTTGCAGTTTCTTCCAGGAAGGTTGGTTTTCCTCCTTTTCTTTATCCTTCTCCATCACTTCTAAAGTAGAAACACTATGCCAGCCAAAAAAAATCATGTCTAACATGCATCTATAATTTTAGGGAATGTCACGTAAATGTTGCAATATTGGACACAAGAAATATGTAGATTATTATTATTATTATATGTCACAAAGAAGGTCTAAAGATGTCATGTGAAGACAAGGAGGGTGGAAACAGAGAAAGCATAGCAGTGTTACAGACCCAAAAATCACAGAACAGGATATAGGGCAGAAACAGCAATATTGCGAGAGAATAAAAGAAGTTTGTATTATTTGCAACAGAAAAAAAGGAAACTATGCAGAAGAAGAAAGGTTCTTCTAATGCCCCAAAGCAATGCTCCTTACAGAGAGCCAAACGGCAACTTTCCAAAAGAAACAAAAACTATTCTCTCTCCATCACTAACTTTGCCAACTCAGCACATCTCAAACATTTCCTAATTTCTTTCTTTTCCTCACATACATTATCCAATCCTTGGGCTTGCTGAAGCTTCATAGATCACTTTCTCCTCAGGCCCATTTGATGGGATGCAATTCCATAATCATGTAGTCTCTAAAGAAATTTGGTGCATAGATTTTTTTTTTTTTATTTGATTATAAATGAAACACAGTTTAAAGTCACAGAGAAGTAATTTGAAACTTCAAGTCTACAAACATGTGACTACTGCTTATTGAACATTAAGATGTTTTTCAATGTCAACACCTAGCATATATTGCAAGCATGAAGGTAAGCAAGAAAAATAAACTTACGCTAGATCTGCTGTGGACTCTGATTTGATCACAGCCTTCCCTTCAGGCAGTTCTAAGGAAGAATAATGCATTATCATTTCCTTTAATGTATGTTTGGTACTTTTTATATCATTATCCCACACGATGCACTGAAATCAAAAGTATAAAATAAAACATTTAATAGTTACTACCATGATATCTACAAGCCCAACACACTCCACCAATATAAATATTGGAAAGAAATCTCACACAACTGAAAGAATAAGTTTATCTGGGTTTTAAAACTGCATATTCATAAGATTGTCACTCATCTCTAGGTAAAAAATAAAAGGCCATAAGCATGTTTAGCAGTTAATGCAGAACAAAGAAAAAAAAGAATCACCTTCCTAATATATTCTCTTTTCACTGCTTCATAAGAAACTTTGCCTTCAGGCAGAAATATTGAAGCATTCCAGAGTGCACCTCTCGCAACCATCACCGATGAGGCACCTTATGCCAAACCAGTGTTAATAAGAAATTAAATATGAAGAATGATTAGCTACATATCTAGTTTATTATGACAGGAAAAAAAAAAGTATGAATGCTATAGCATATTCAATACAAATGCAATCATCAAGATAAAAAAAAAAATTCCCATCAAATGTGATAAAAACCAATAACTTTCTTCACCTGGCTTTATATGACATTCAAATGCTTACTTAACCTAACTTTCCTAGACTCTGATCTCTATGAGCCTTGTAATTATTTTTGTGGGTCCATGAATGACATCCACCCCGCATGCTGGTAACCTCTGGTAAGCTACATGATATAGTTGACAACCTCTCTACTGCCATCCCTCTCCCAAGACTGCAGGTTTTCTTATGCATATATAGTTCAGCAGTCTCTTTAGCATTATCTTGCTGCCTTTGATTTTCTAAAGCTTCTAAGAGCTGCCTTAGGGTTTTTTAGAGTTTTGTTTCCCATGTTTAATATATAATTTAGGAATAGAAGAATGTCTACAGTTCCATATTATGAAATTACTCTCCTTGATCTCTACTCTACATTGTCAAAGTGTTGTCAAAAGAAGGACGAAATATCACTTAGAAGCTTTCTCCAAGAGCTCCAAGTCAAGTCACAGAAATGGAAATGCAAAGATTACCGATAGTATGATGTGAAGGCTTGATCCAATGCAGCTGTTGGGAAGGCAAATCCTAGGGGTTACCCAATCATTCTCTGCAGGATTGAGGGGAATCTATCATGGCCTTGGGATACCCAGGAATATGCAATTTATGAAGGTCCATACAAACAAATTTGTTAGCATTTGGTTCATCTCCTTACTTTCCAAGAGAATGAACTGCATGTTTCAATTTATTGCAGCTTGTAGAGAACTTGTACTAAGGATAGAGCGATTGGGTTGAAACATAAATAAATACAGACAAGGCAACTCCGGTCTCTGAAATTTATGATAAAAAATTCAACTGCATTCAGAATTATTTTCGGTGCAATCTACAATTCTAACTGCAAAATTGGTTATGAAATCTTGGGAAAAATTCTTTTCAGCTACCTGTAGCAGATTTAATGCGCTGGAAATCATCATACTCAAAAACATCACCATTTGCTATAACTGGAATAGATAGTGCTGACACAACATCAGCGATTTCATTCCACTTAGCAGGATCTCTGGGCCTATCTGGGACTTTTCTGTAAATGGATTAAAAGGAAAAAGGTAAGCACGTTTTAATGCAATAAGGATAAAATAATCACATTAGTGATCTAACTCTGCAATGCTTCAGGGATCTATGTGCTTGTAAATTTATTTGCTATATTTCCTTTTTAGCTTCTTAAGCATCAAATTTTCCAAAATCATAAATAAGCCTTAAGTTGCACATGTAATATCATTTGTACTAAGTGCATGTTTCAGGAATCTTGGGCTAGTTACTGTCTTAAAGAATATGGTTTTGATAAAAGCCAGGCTCTAAGCAACAAATATATAAAAACAAACACAAAGAAGGTCAAAGAAAATGGCATCCCTACAGTTAACTTGTCCAGGACTCCAGTCCAGGTCAAGAAGGACAGGAAGAGAAGGTAAGCATCCCCATCCAAAATTATCTATCTTCCATTGTTCACTTTCATTTCTTTTCATGAAAATTGTTGAAATTATAGAGTTTAGGTAGGCAAAGAGAAAAATGAGAACAAAGACTCTAAATAGTAATTCGATATGACATATTCCCATGTGATACAAAGACAAAGCACTAAGCCTCCATTTATCTGGGAATAAATTAAGTTCTAGAACCCTATAATCCAGTTAAATAAGGGAACAACTAACTTACTAAAAATAAAATCCCTACAAAAACAGTTCCTCCCAAAATAAGATCCTGCTAAAAATAGACAACACAATATCTCTTAATAACATTATTTATCCTAATTTATTATGCACAATTCTGTCCATTCTCTACCTCTAAGATATTTTGTGGAAGATTTTATCACTACTCTTAAGTTAAAATTTACTAAGCTTTTATCTTGTTACAAATAAACAATTTAAAAGGAAAAAAAATATAAAATATAAAATTGAATCCATAAAACATGACAGGAAAACAACTGAAGGAAGCTAGATCACAAGCATGGTTGAATCTTACGATAGTTTTAATTTTGGATTTGGATTGATTACGTTAGGGGACGTGTCTCAATTGTTGTAATTCAGATTACTTAATGCTTGATTGAGTCAGCTAACCATTAAAATTGCAAATTGAATTCAAATCTTCAAAACCGATGATTGCTTAGGAATTCTTCGATTCAATAGATGTTAATTCAATTCAAATCCTCATAGGTGCCACCAATGGCCTTCTTTGTATGTGACCAAGCTCATCTGAAACAATTTTCTATCTTCTTTTTTTTTTTTCACTTTAAGTGTTACTATAATACTTTATGTATAAAATCATTTCCCTTCTTGTGTCATCACTTATTCATCTAAACGTTTTCATTTTTGTCATTCTCAATTTTTCTTCGTGTTGTTCCTTAAGGCCCAACATTCATTATCATATAGGATAATTGGTTGTATAACAGTTCGATAAAATTACTCTTTAAGCTTGATAACTACTTTATAGTCACAAATAATTCTCAATGTCTTTCTCCACTTTAAACGCCCAACTTGTATTTTAAGAGTAACATGTTAATTAATTTCTCCATCATTATGTAGAATTAACTCCAAGTACCTAAACTACAAGACTTGCAAAATAACATCATTTCCAATTTTAACTTTTAATGCATGATTCTTATCTTATTTTTTGTTAAAATTGCAATGCGTATATTCTATTTTACTTTTATTCAAGTGAAAACACTGAGATTCTAAAGTCTTCCTCTATAATTCAAGTTTAAATTTAACCTCTTCTTTTGATTTCTAAATTAGGACTTTGTCATCCACAAAGAGCATATATTTAGGGATAATTTTTAATTTCACTCGTAAACACATTTAAGATTAGGATAAACAAAAGGGTCAACATGGAATTCTAACGTAAATTTATCCCTATCAGGAAGTTTTTATTTACACATCTACAAGTTCTCACACATGTGATTACCTCATCATACATGTTTTGTATAATTCGAATACATGCTACACAAATCCTTTTTTCTTTTTAAAGTCTTTCACAATACTTCTTCTAGTACAAAATTATAAGCTTTTTCCAAGTCAATAAAAACAATAAATAAATATTTTTCTTTATAGCTGTACTTTTTCACTAACTTTCACAATAAGTATATAGCTTATGTTGTAAACTTTTTTTGCATAATCAAATTGATTTTTATAATCTCATTTTCTTCTTTTAGTCTATATTCAATCACCTTTTCCCATAATTTCATAGTGTAACTCATAAGTTTTACCTCTCAATAGTTTACACAGTTGTGGATATCGCTCTTGATTGTGTATATAAAGATCAAAGCATTCTTCCTCCACTCATCTAGCATATTCTTAGATCACAAAATCTCATTAAATAGCTTAGTAAGTCTATTTATACATTTCTAAACTTCAATAGGGATACTATCAAGACAAACCGCTTTATCATTATCCATTCTCTTAAAAACTGATTTTACATCTCTAACTAAAATTCTACAATAATATGTCAAATTTTAGATGATTCACTTAAATTTCTAATCCTTCTATATTTTTATTTGCTCCTTGTTTATTATTAAAAAGTATAAAAATAGTTTTCTCGTCTATCTTTGATGTCTTGATCGATAACTAAAAATTTTTCTTCTTCATTCTTTATACACCTAACTTAGTCCAAATCTCAGAATTTTATTATTAAATTTTTATTTGCATATCTTTCTTTCGTCATTCTGTGTCCCTTTATCTTGATAGAACTCCTAAAAATCCTTAAATCATGCTTCATTCACTGTTTTTCTTGTCTCACTTTGTTTTTAAGTCTTAATCAATCAATTTTGATCTAAGGTCCTTGAGAGACACAATCCTAGGTTGTGCTTAGTGCCACATACTAGATCATGTTTTTTACTCATATGGGGCTGCAGATCACTCCTTATCCTAATTGTTCAAAAATTTCACCAATCCCAACTGGAATAACATATCTAATGAAAGTATTATCCTGCTTTGACTGATTTGAGATCACTTAAATCTGTCATTGTCATGCTTTCTACCATACACTTCATACCAATCCAAGCCCAAATAAAAGAGGAAAGTAGTGTTAGATATCAGTGCACAATCTAGAATTGTGCAAATCATTAATGTTATAACTGTAACAGATCTTAATGGTAATAAACCAAGTGGTAGATTGACTAAAATGCCTTATGAAAGCAAAACAGCCATGAAAGTTCCCACCGGAGAAAGATAGGTCCAGGAAAAAGGGTCAAGATTTGGAGAATACCTTCCATGAACTGCAAGAGCAGAAACACCAGTTTTCTCAATTCGCCTGGCTAATTCCACAGTATCATGCGGAGATTTTAAGAGCCGAATCTTACATGTTACTGGTGTGTTCAAATTCCTCCTTAAAGTTGTTAAGATCTGAATTTTTATAAGACAAAAGGATTCAAACACATTTCAGATGTACAAAAAAATACAACAGATGGTAAGACTTACATCATGAATAAGTTCTGGTTTGGACAACAGAGCAGAACCCATCCCACCACTCACAGAAAATGACTTTGGGCATCCCATGTTAATATCTATTGCAGCAACATCATTACACCTGCAGCCCACCCTCATCCATAATTAACATAAACACAGGAAAAGGAAACCAAACACTTTTTCACTGAATTTCTCATGCAATGTTCGAAAAGTTACATGCAACAATCCTGCATAGGAACTTTGGTGCATTTAATAAAATATACATACTTCATCACAGAATTTTAGAACCATTAATTCAAGCTATATATTTGGAAGAAGAGGGGAAAAATCTTCTGGGCAATCATAATTTTGACTAAGACTGCAACGTTTTTAATCTATATGTGAGCAGGCTTTCATTCTTACGAGTAATAAGATCAATAAAACCATAATTCAACCATATTGTATCACACTAGGTTGGGTTATTTTCTACAAAAATATGAACAACCAACAACAAAAAGTTATTTCAGTTAAAAGAGTAAAAGCAAAATGATGTATAAACTTCAGCATAAAGAGGGAAACCAAATGTACAAATAACTTACACTAACTGAGAAGCAGTTAGGGCCCTCATAGCATCAGATGTGCCCATCTGAAATACAACCCTTTCTTTTTCTTGATCACAAGTTCTAAACACAACATTTTCCGTCCCTTTCTCCACAAAATCAGTGGATCCAATGAGATCTGTTAAAGAATTAAGATAACAGGATTCTTAGTAACGCAAAGCTAAATAGGAAAAAAAATGCAGGCATAAGGATGATTTTCTAATCAACCTCGTTGCAGCTGATGTCTAACCACCATATAAGAAAATAAAAATTGACAATTATTACCAAACAACACATTTTAATTTCATTATTTGAACAAGTACTATTACTGCAATACAAAAGACTAGATGAGGAATACAACATTAGAGGGTCAGTTATTCACCTAATAAAAACAAAAAATAGAAACCAGAAAGCAATACATCAGAATTAAATTTTGGACTATTTATTAAGGGTTTTGCTAACCAGTGTCCAAAGAATTGAAAGTGAAATTTTTTTTTTTATTGAAAATTACGATGGCTGCATTGAAAATCACGAGAGAGGTGCATTTATAACACTTTTTTACAAGATTGTGCACTTTTGCTTCCTCAAGGATCTGCTTAGCATTTACTTTTAATTAATATTAATATTAATTAAATAGAAAAAATAGGCGGGCTTCTCGTCCTTTAACATGTTAATATAAACTGGAGTAAATATGCAATTTGATCTCTAAAGGTGACATTTTATGGAGCCAGAAAGTTTAGCTTTAGCAATTTATCTTTACTCACATCTCTCCTCAAAAAATTATAAGCAAAATGTGATAAAAATTAACAAGTTGAAGAACCAAATTATATATGCCAACATTTTCAAGGATTAAGGAACAAGATGTGAACATTTTAATATATTCAAGCACCAAATTATATAAAGCAAACTTTTAGGGATCAAACGTAATCATAACAAGAGTGTACCATTGATTCGTCTGTAAAGTGCACAAGTGTATAGGTCCAAAAGCAGGGAACAGGACAAATTCATAACAAGAGGGAACAATTGAAAGAAACAAGGAACCAATTAAAGAAATGCCCAGTGAAGTTGCGTACCATTGATTCGGCGCTCGCACTTGACCATCTTATGGTCAATGATTTCCTCACCGTATGTGATATCTGCACCATATTGAGCAGCTAGTAATCTAAATGGAAGAGTGCCCTACCAAACAAAAATTAAAAGCACAAAGTGGTGACAATGATTTGACTTTTGTGTTTTTTGGTTCGAAAGAAGATAATTGATGAGATGAAAAATGGTTGTTTAGAGAGAAGGAAGTTAAACTCACAACGCGAACCATAGGAGCGAGAACGAGTTTGTTGCGGTACTCCATCTTTCTCGGATGGGTTGACAACTCGTCAGAGAGAGAGAAGGAGAAGCACGGACTTCGAATCCAAAGAGAATGAGAGTTTTGAGGTTTTTCTGGGTTTTATTTTATTCCTCTTCGAGTTGAGAAAAAACGAAATTTCATTTTGGAGCAGCAGAAAAATACGAGTCCAAAATTTAAATGCAGACGAGAAGCACAGCTTTTAGTATTGTTACACTCTCATTATTGAATCAAATTTTATAAATTGCGAGATTCCTCAGTTTGATTATGAATAAATATATTATTCAAAATTAAATATTATTTATATTAAAAAACTAATATTTATTAGTTAAAATTTTATCAATTTTATTACACATGAAATAAAATATAACGAAGTATTTATCAATTTTATCTTTATATAAAATTTTATAAATTTAATTTACTCCACAAAAGTTTTTAAATTAATAAATTTATTAGTTAATTTTTCTTTCTACAATAAATTATTAAATAATATAAGTATTTAAATTTCGTATTTTTTATATTATTTAAATTTCATATTTCATATCAAGAGATCTTCACTTGTTTATTAATTCTAACAAGATATTAAACATATGTGATATACATTTTATGGTTAAAAGCTAAATCATTTTTTATTTTATTATAAATTTTATAACACACACACACACATATATATATATATATATATATATATATATATATATTACACTTAAATTTATTAATTTTACAAAAAAATTAAAATTATATAAAAACTTGTATGATTTGAAGATGAAAATATATTAACACCTTAAAAAATTAAAATTTAAAAAGAAATCATGATAAAACTTAGAGGCTCACCAAATTAAATAAATTATTCATGAGAATTAAAATTTGTGATAATATATAAGATTGGAATAAAATTAGGAAAAATTAACATTCTATTTATTAAATTTTTCATATTAGTCTTTAATTTTATGTTTTTTTTATATTTTAATTTGTTCTTCTAACTTATTTTATTTTATTTTTAGTTTGAATCTACCTTTAATCATAAACATATTAATTATATAATTCATTTAAATTTTTTTAAGAACTCGTTTGATGATGAAATTAGAATAGATGTTCTGAATTATAATTTTAATTTTAATTCATCAGAATTAGATTTAAGAATTATAATTCCGTTTGGTGTACTCAAATAATTAGAATATAGAATTAGAATTCTAAATTGAAATCAAATTTTATAATATGATAAGATCTAAATTTTTAAAAAATAATTTAATTTTATATTAAAATTTTATTTAATAACTTTTTCAAAAATAATGTGTTAATTAAAAATATCAAAATAATTATTAAATAAATTATTAAAGATGATATAATCAAATAATAACTAAATATTTCTTTTTTAAAAATTATGATACAGTAAATTTATTTTTTATATTTAATTTATTATTAAAATTTAATATTGTTATGAACTATCTTTCTCATAAATTAGATAAAAGTATACAAACGTTATATTGCAAAAAATTCTTCTAAGCTCACATGATAAGTCTCACGTAGTCCTCATCTTTCACTAAAATGTTACAAGGTTAAAAAAAATTTATTTAGTAAAACGTAATTGATTATAACAATTTTTATTGAATAATCGCCTCAAAAATATACTTTTTACTACGTTTTTATTACTCTGTTGCATTTAACACTAGTTTTGTCTTTTTTGTTTTTCTTGTACCCTCAATATTTTGTCCAACATCTAAGAATTCAAAAAAATTATTAAACAATTTATTATAGAATTAACATAAACATAGAAAGTGCAGAATAGTAATACAGATAAATATAATAAACATGTAACAAATGTAAAAAAAGAGAAAGAAGAAGAAGAATAAGGTAAAAATTATAAAAATTGTTTAAAAAATAAGATTAATGTAGTTATAAAAATTGTTTAAAAAAATAATATTTAAGAATAAGGTAAAAATTATTTTGTTATGTTTGATATTTTTGAGAGATTATTTAAAAAATTCTTTGAGAATGTACCTTAAATATTTTTTGATATTTTTTTTAACTAAAATTATATATACGTCTCTAAAGTTAATATCAACTTTTAATAAAATACATATAAAATAATATCTCAAATAAAACAACTAAAAGTTTAAATTTTTTTGAATATATTTAATTAAAAAAGTGTAGATTGAACTCATATTTAAAAAATTTAAAATTACCATTTAAATAAATAATCTTTTAGAAATTCAACTAAAATATTGTTTTAAAATTATTTATATATTAAAAAATTAAATATATAATTGTCACAATTTAATAAATTATAAATGATAGATTAATTGAATAGTTTAATGTAAAATTATGGATCATACATAATTTAATGATGATTTAGATTGGTTTTAAAAGGTTGAAATAAATTTTTGAATATAAGAACATTGGACAAAAGAAGTGAGTATGTTTGTGGGTATGAATGATAGCAACAACTTTGGAGATAAGCCATCATATAGTCTTTGAGGTTAAAATGTTAGAAAAATTGTTATTTTTATTTGCATTGATGTAAAGGTTGAAAGGAGTCAAAAAAAGAGAAACTTAACTTTGGAAATTGTATTTTAATTATATGGAGTGCAACTATATATAAAACAAATCTAAAACAAAATTGGTAGATAAAAACTACGAACAAATTATTCCTAAAAGAAAGGAAAGAAACAAACTTAACAAATAGTCAACATGACTTTTATTTCAAATAGCATAAAAATCGGATCTGCAGTTCCAACAGTCATATCATCAACACTTCTCCTTGACTTTGGATCTGCAAACTCCAAGTTTTTGTCTCAAGTATTCAAATTTGGCTGTTGGAAGTACTTTAGTCAAAATGTTAGCACTTTGATTCTCGGATTATTGACGATTGATATTGCAGCCTGATTGTTCACAAAAATCTGTGTGCTTTCTTCTTATTCCATATGCAAATCTATCATAATTTTCCTGATCCAAAAAGCCTAATTCATAGCAGCAACAACAACTACATACTTCGCTTCAGTAGTTGACTAACCTATAACATCTTCCTTTTTAGAACACCAAGAAACAACTCTGCATCCAAAAGAAAAAACAATAACCAAAGATGCTTCTCATGTCATCAACACAACCTGCCTGGTCACTATCAGAATATCCATGAAGCTTAAAATTATGAGAATGAGAGTACATCACATCATAATCTAAAGTGCCTTTAATATATCTAATAACTCGTTTGGTAGCTTGAAAATGTATTTTACTAGAACAATGCATGAACCTTGAAAGTAAACTTACTACAAACAAAATGTCAAGTCTAGTTGCAGTAAGATATAGTAAGCAACTAATCAAATTTCTATAATGTTTTTCATCAACTCTAGTTGGTAGCCTATTCAGCAAAAATACAATAGTGTTTGCCGCCTCTGCCCACAGCTTCTTTGGCAAATCTTTCTCATGTAACATACACCTCGTCATCTCCTTGATGCTTCTATTTTTTCTTTCACTTACACCATTTTGTCGTGGGGTGTATTGCATTGTAAGTTGGTGCTCAATGCCAGTTTCTTCACAAAATTTATCAAAAATGTCATTTGTATATTATTTTTCATTGTCAGAACTTTTTATTTGTAACTTGCAACCACTTTGATTTTCCACAAATGCATTTAAAGACAATACTCTCTAAGGTCTCCCAACATCTATATGAACTAGTTGTAGTCTTTGAGTTGCTCTCCAAGTGGTTTGAGGAAATGATTTTCTTACTAGCTTACCAAATTGACAAGCCACAAAATCTGCCTGTCTTCAAGCATCGAGACACCTTTCACCAAGGCATGTTTCTGCAGTCCTGCAAGATGAAAATGTCTAAGTCTTTTATGTCATAGATCAGCATTGGTGGTTGTTCTTGAAAAAGCTATTTGCTCCTCCTCTATCAAATTTAGAGCATAGCTATTAGATCTCATTTTCACTCTGAATACATTTTTGCTTTTTGAGTCTTTGATCAAACACCACTTATCTTTAAATATGACTTTGAAGCTGATAAGTATGTAATTAGGCCCTATTTTACAGCCATATATTCATATCTAACCTTTATTTCATTTAGATTTTACACAAATTTATATATTGATTACGCAGTTTGGTAGAAAGGAGTCAGAAGTGAATTTTTGGTGCATTTTTGGACCTAAATTGATGAAGATTAGAGTCTCGCAGCAGTAAGAATGCCCAAGAAGCACGAGGTGCTTTGAGGTAATGCACGACCTTGCTATTACCTTGCACTGTCGTGCTCGTTTGCGGGAAACCCAAACTTAAGAGTTTTAAAAGAGTCTCAACTCTATAAAAAGGAGGGGCAGAGGCATCATCAGACACATTCTTTTGACACCATTTTACATACAACCTTATTTCTTCAAGATATCTATCATTTGTCTCCCTTGCACGAATCCTTGGTATACTCTTGGTGGGACTTGAAGCTTCGAGCGACCGTACTTGAAGACTGAAAACTCATCTCATTCTAGTTTGCTATTTCTTTTAATTATGACTTTATTTATGATTGTTTTAGTTCTTTTCTTTAGCATGAGTAACTAAGTCCATAGTTAGGGCTATCGAAACTATTGATCATGAATTTATGGGGTTTTGACGTTTGAAATTAAATTTGATTTCCATTTCGTGATTAGATTTTATCCTATTGCGCTTCTCTCTTAATTTTAATTTATTATATCGTCAGACGACCGTACTTCGATTAATTAATAGATCTATAGAATAAAACGAGACAAAGAATTAGGTGGACCAAACCAATCTTTCTCTTCTAATCGTTATTAAATTAACAAGTTTATAGGTTCTTTAAGCTTTTTTAAATTGATGTCTTACATGATTATTGGGGATGTTAATTTAGAGAAAAGAATATTAATATTGCATGACCATTGGCTATTAATAGTATTTGTATGAATGATTAGTAACCACAAGGAAATCATAGAGTTAAACAGAAGAATAACATAAAGGATTGAATGAAAAAATTTATATGCCCTAGGTTCCTCTCCGATAAGTTTAACCAAGACGTGCATTGTATTCTTTACTCTTACTTTTATAGTTGATTTTATAAATTCTTGTTTTAATTAATCTCATATCTTTGAAGCTTGAACAATTGAATTAGAAAATTCTTAGTAATTAAAAATCAATCCTTGTGGGACGATATTTCGGGAACTTAATTTAAGAATCCTTTATTACTTCTTGATGGGTACACTTGTTCTCTAAACAAGTTTTTGACGTTGTTGCTGGAGATTGCTTTCTCAATATTAAGAAAATCTGAAATTTAATTAATTTGAGTAATTTGTGTTTTACTTTATTTTAATTCTATTTTTTTTTATTGTTAAATTTTGTTTATTTCATAATTTTTATTTTTATTTTATTTTAATTTTTTTACTTTATTTCATAATTCCTTCTAGTGTATGCTCACTCATTCTAAGTGTTCTACAACTTGTTTATTAGATCCAAAGATTGAAAAAACAATTCATAGACAAAGAAAGGAAGTGAGAGAGCAAAGAATGGCAGAGGGAAGAAGATCAATCCAAGATTACATGACACTTATGATAATTATGTAATTAGACCCTCTTTTACAGCCTATATATTCATATTTGACATTTATTTTATTTGAGTTTTACACTAATTTATATATTAATTGTGCAGTTTGGTATAAAGAGGCCGCAAGTAGATTTTGGGTGCATTCTGAGCCCAAATTGATGGAAGATTAGAGCTTCGCAGCAGTTAGCACGCCCAAACCCATTCAATAAGCACGGGAGTGCTTCGACCCCATGCCGGTTGTGCTTAAGGCCTTGCACAGCCGTACTCATCTGCGGGAAGCCCAATTATGAAGATATTTTAGGGTTTTCAAATCCTATAAAAGTGAAGATCTCAGGCATCATAAGGGGACCATTTTGACATCTTGACTTTGGCTTTTGGATACATCTCTCATCTTGTCTCTCTTGCACGGGATCCTTGGCACATGCTTGGAAAGACTTGGAGCTACACGCGATCGTACTTGAAGACCGGGAACACATCTCATACTCTAGTTTGCTATTTCTTTTTATTATGACTTTGTTTATGATTGTTTTAATTCTTTTCTTTAGCATAAGTAACTAAGTCCATAGCTAGGGCTATGGGAACTATTGTTCATGAATTTATGAGATTTTGATGTTTGAATCTAAATTTAATTTCTGTTTTGTAATTAGATTTTATCCTATTGCACTTCTCTCTTAATCCTAATTAATTATATCGTTAGGCGACCGTACCTCGGTTAATTAATAGATCTATAGAGTAAAACGAGACAAAGGATTAAGTGGACCAAACCAATCTTTCTCTTCTAATCGTTATTAAATTAATAAGTTCGTAGGTTCTTAAAGCTTTCTTAAATTAATGTCTTGTATGACCATTGGGGATGTTGATTTAGAGAAAAGAATATTAATATTGCGTGACCATTGGGTATTAATAGTATTCGTATGAATGATTGGTAATCACAAGGAAATCGAATTTAGAGTTAAATAGAAAAATAACATAAAGGATTGAATGAGAAAACTCATATGCCCTAGGCTCCTCTCCGATAAGTTTAACCAAGACGTGCATTGTATTCCTTACTCTTAGTTTTATAATTGATTTTATAAATTCTTGTTTTTAATTAATCTCGTATCTTTGAAGCTTAAACAATTAAATTAGGAAATTCTTAGTAATTGAAAAACAATCCTTGTGGTACGATATTTCAGGAACTTAATTTAAAAACCCTTTATTACTTTTCGATGGGTACACTTGCCCTTCGAACAACCTACTGTTAGAGGCACCCTTGGAAGCATTGCGACCCCTAGTATGGTGGCCAACAACTTTGAACTTAAACCAGCACTCATAACCATGGTCCAGAACTCCATACACTTTGGGGGCATGCCGAACAAAGATCCCAATCTACATCTGACAAAGTTCCTCCGATTGACGAACACCATCAAGTACAATGGAGTCTCTAACGATGTTATTCAACTCCACCTTTTCCCCTTCTCAGTATTTGAAAAGGTGAATGCATGGTTTTTCTCACTCCCAGCCAATTCTATCACAACTTAGGAGGATCTCACTCAACAATTCTTGGGAAAGTACTTTCCCCATTAAGGTCCTCTAAGCTTATAACAGAGATATGTTGCTCCCAACAATATGAAGTAGAATCCTTAGTTGAGGCGTAGGAGCGATTCAGGGAACTGTTGAGAAGATGCCTGCATCATGATTTTCCAACATGGAGGCAGGTGCAAATCTTTTACAGTGACCTATCCATCCATAATAGGGCCATGATTGATGCAGCAGCAGGAGGATCTCTAATAAGGAAAGATCCAGATGACGCATTTTCAAATTGATAGATGAAATGGCATCTGCCAGCTTTCAGTGGCACGCAGCTAACTCGTATAACCTTACAAGAAAGGAAGCTACACCAGTTTATCAAGCAGAAAGCAGCAACCCTCTGATAAGTCAGATGGCAGCCCTCACAAAGCAACTAAAGTGCTTAATGAAAGCACAAGATCACACACAAAGTCAGCACATAATATAGAGTTTGATCAAGAGGAGGTGAACTTCATGGGTAATAAATATAATCCAGGATGGCACTATAGCAATACAACCCCTTGGGAAAACCGCCAAGGAAATCAGAATGCACCATATCACCCCCCATGTGCAAAGTCAAAGGGAGAAGGTAGAGAGAAAAGAAGCTTCTAGATTTCAATCTAATTTTCAAGAACAAATGATGCAATACATGCATAATTCTGACAAAAGAATAGCAAACTTGAGGCCCAGATGGAACAACAGATAGAGAGGAAAGATAAGAGGTTTTCAAGAATCAAATATAAGATGAGGACTCAGTCTTCAAAGCTTGAGTCTTAGTTGGAGTAAATCACAGGTCTCCTTAGTCAGAGAGCATTGAGAACACTACCATCCCAACCAGAACCGAATCCTAGGGAACAAGCAAAGGCTATTACCCTGAGAAGTGGGAAGAGCCTCATTGGAATGCAAACACACAAGTCCCGTGCTTCCTAATAAGTACACCCTTGCATCACCCTCAGTCTTCAAAGCTTGAGTCTCAATTGGAGTAAATCACGAGTCTCCGTAGTCAGAGAGCATTGGGAACACTACCATCCCAACCAGAACCAAATCCTAGGGAACAAGCAAAGGCTATTACCCTGAGAAGTGGGAAGAGCCTCATTGGAATGCAAACACACAAGTCATGCACGCCCGTGCTTCCTAATAAGTACACCCTTGCATCACCCTGCACGCCCATGCTTTTTGATACAACACGGTCGTGCATAGAGCAGCACACCCTTGCAGACAATGAAGGCACGACCGTGCTCAACAAAAGCAAGGCCGTGCTCAATGATGAGCAAGGTTATGCTTATCACCCAGATGCGAAAAAGGAAATGAGGAAAGATGCATCAGCTGTGCCGAAGCCGAAAGTTCCATTTCCGCAATGATTGAAGGGTAACCAGAGAGATCCACAATTCAATAAGTTTCTCTAGATCCTCAAAAAGCTCCACATCAATATTCCTTTTATTGAAGCCATCTCACAGATGCCTAAATATGCTAAGTTCCTCAAGGATATGCTAAGCAATAAAAAGAAATTGGAAGAATTAGAGACGGTCAGACTGAATGAGGAATGCTTAGCAATTCTACTAAAGAAGCTGCCTCTTAAGCTTAAGGATCCAGGGAGTTTTACGATTCCATGCACTATAGTCAACTATTATTTTGATAAAATACTCTGTGATTTATGCACTAGCATTAATTTAATGCCATTTTCTGTGTTTAAAAGGTTAGGTATGCAAGAACCCAAACCAACTTCAATATCTTTGCAGCTTGCTGATCGTTCGATAACATATCTTAGGGGCATAGTGGAGGATGTCCTGATCAAGGTAGATAAGTTCATATTTCCTATAGATTTCATTGTCCTTGACATGGAAGAGGATGATGAAGTACCCATCATACTAGGGAGGCCTTTCCTAGCTACAGGAAGAACAATAATAGACGTTCATCAAGGGAAGCTTACATTAAGATTAAATGATGAGGAAGTAGTATTTAAAGTTTTTAATTCACCCAAACATCCCTCCGCTCTTGATTCATGTAATTTTGTAATAGCTGCAGAGGCTACCTCTCGGTCCTTGAATGTGTTACAGGTACAAGATGAATTAATAAAAGATGCATTGGAAAGGATACTTACATTGGAAAGGAGGGATCTTCACGAAACTGAAGAAATAATGGATGCGATCTTAGCATTGAATAGTGGAGTGCCAGGAAGATGGTTTGGGCGAAGGATGTTTGAAGATCTAGGAGAGAATTCCTGGAAAAGAATCAAGCCATCAGCCAAAGAACCTCCTGAACTAGAACTCAAACCCCTTCCCTCAAATCTTAAGTATGCCTATTTATGCCCTCCATCTCACTTACCTGTGATTATTTCTACCAATCTGACAGGTAGCATGGAGGAGAAACTTTTGAGAGTGGTAAGGGAGAACAAGGAGGCTTTCGGGTGGAGCATTAATGATATTAAGGGCATTAGCCCTTCCATATGCACTTATAGAATTCACCTGGAGGAAGAATTCAAACCAAAAGTATAACTCCAAAGGCGATTAAATCCCAATCTAAAAGAAGTAGTGAAAAAGAAGGTAATTAAGTTGTTAGATGCTGATATCATATTCCTAATCTTTGAGCCCTTGGGTGAGTCCTGTACAAGTTGTACCAAAGAAAGGAGGGACCACAGTCATGCAGAATGAGCAATAGGAACTCACTGCCATCAAAAAGGTAACCAGGTGGAGAATGTGTATCAATTACAGGAAGCTTAATGAAGCCACCCAAATTTATTCGTAGGTCACAGGTGAAAAGAGATTGTTGCAGCTTAATGAATTGGAGGAATTGCGTTTTGAGGCATTTGAAAATGCCAAGTTATACAAAGAGCGCACTAAGAGGTGGCATGATAAACATATTTATCATATGAGTTTTCAAGCAGGCAACAAGATTCTGATCTATAACTCTCAGTTGCGATTGTTTCTTGGAAAACTAAAATCCAAATGGTATGGCCCCTACAATATTATCAAGGTTCTTCCATATGGAGTACTAGAAGTTTGCAAGCATAGAAAAGAACCCTTCTATATCAACAGGCTAAGAGCAAAACTGTACATAGAGAATGTGACCTCCCTTGGTCACACGATAACACTCAATTCGCTCAAGCAGGACGTTAAGCTTGCGACGTTAAACAAGCGCTTCCAGGAGGCACCATGTGTTATGTTTTATTTATTTATTTATTTTTTATTTCTTTCTTATTTAATTAATTTTAAGTTCTTATAGGAATAAAACGCCTAGTCATAAATAAGGGAGCAGACGACTAAAACACGGTCGTGCCACATTTAAGCAAGGCCGCACTGGTTGGGAACTGTCACAAAGTTAAGAGAACACTAACTAACAAGTGTACTAGATAGTTGTAGCAAGTAATAAAATTTGGAATTCAGTTTGAGTCCCAAGTATCTTCCTTAGGGGTTAATTCTATCAATTACCACTTCACAAATCAATAACTAGTTGAACTAAACAAAATTTGGAGTGTTTTGAATCTTTTAAGAACAAAAGCAATAATCTGTAGAAATCAGAAAATAACAACAAAATAGAATGATGAATTTAGAAATGAGATGATATGTGAATGAAGTTAGGACTGATTTCACCTCTTCATCATCTACAAAATGGAAGTAGATTTGAACTCTAAGTTCCTTAATTAATTGATGATCAATTTCACTAGATTAATCAAAGTTCAATTCCTTAACTCATTGATCCTAATATTCAATTAACTACCCTAATTCCTTAGGTGTAAATCAATCAAACATTGCATTAGGCATTCGAAATTAAGAGATCACAAGATCATGAATTCTTATCCCTTAGATATCCATAACCTTGACATTCAATTGAGATATGAGAAATTAACTTAACTTCCATTGATGAAAATCCTCTAGGTTCAATTCAATTGAATAACTAATTCAAGAATTGCATTAAGGAAAGAATTAAACGTTCAATACAATCAAGATCTAAAAATCCAGATCCACAATTAATTTACAATATCAAAATCGGATCCATCAATTCATAACAAAAAGAAATCATAACATGTTCATAGAAGAAAAAGAGAGAGAAAGAGTAGAAGAAGAAGAGTTGCAGAATTTATTCATAAATCCAATCCCCAGCTGATTCCTCAAGGTCCAAAGCTTGGAAGTCATCCTCAATCTCCCTCTCTAACTCTCCTAAGGTGTGAAAATGAAAAATGAGAAAAAAAAATACAAGTTTCTAAGTTGATCTCTTATTTATAGAATTTCCTACCTTTCTGGCTTGATCACTATTTTTCATAACAATAGCAACGTAGAAGTTCGTGATCTACACGTGATCATGCACAGCTTGTTTTGCTAGAGGGCTCTCTGGAACAATCACTTTTGTGAACAAAAGTGATAACATGTAGCTTACTTTTCTAGAGGCTTCTCTGGAACAATCACTTTTGGCACATATAAATAAGTATGGGGGAGATTCCCTTAGAAAATGCAAGAGAAAAAATCAACAAATAAAAAAAAGGAGGAAAGTAAAAAAAAAAAGAGAAAAAGAGAAAAAGAAGAAGCAAGCAATAAAGAAGAAAAGGAGCATTGGGTGGCTAGCAAAAGTAAAAAAGGATTGTTTTAGAATTGTATTACAACATTTATTTGTTTAGTATATTTACTTTCATGCTTATTTTCTTTGTATTCATTCCTCATTGTTCTGATATTCTCTTTGGTTTTAGCTTGATTACCTTTGTAAATTTTTCACCTTCACCCTACCCTTTTTATAACCTAGTAAAGTCCTCTTGATTTTTGTATGTATGTTAGTGGAGAAGTAGGCAATGGGAAAGCTTATGGTTGATCATGCTTCATGTTGTGCATTTGAGTGAGACACTTTACCTTATACATTTGAATGATTGAGAGTATGTCATGTGAGGATTTTATCTCTTATAGTTCATTTACTTGATTTAATAAGTTCATTTGTAAATTTGAAGTCTGAGGATTGACTTCCATTGTAACCATGATATTTGAACTCAATTGGCCTTGTACATAGCTTAGTTTGTTTTTTTGGTTTCCCATGGTTTGATTTTGTGATTTGTCCCGGAGGGCAAAGTTTAAGTGTGAGGGAATTTGACGTAACATATATATTTTATGTTTGTATTTAATGTTTTATTTTCATTTCTAAACTCTTTTCATATGCTTTATTTTTAGAATTTTTACCCTTTTCTAGTTATTTGAATAAATTAGACTTGTTACAAATAAAGCTTTAATTTCATATTTTAATAATTCTGACCTCTGACTATTCTTTTATTATAAATTTTTCTACAAATATCTTTTTACCTTGATTCTAGTTGCATTGATTCTACAAATCTAGAGCTTCAAGATATATATATGGATTACTGGCTTTGGAGTAATTTTTGATTTTTTTTTATGATTTTTTGAAGTTGAGACAGATTTGCTAAATCTTGATGTGGGGTTGCATTTGGACCCTTATTATTTAATAATTGTATTTTGACTTTTTAATATAATTGAAACTCGAATTTTGATCATTTAATTTATCGTAATCAAAACCTATAAATAACTAATAAGGTTTTAAATTAGGGGTGCGAGAGGTATTCTCGCCTGAACGAGGACGAATCCAGAGAGTTCTAGATTTTTCTGTGATGTCTCGCCTGAGCGAGTCTGATCTTGCTTGGGTGAGTTATTTCCAGCCTGAGCGAGAGGACAATTGAGACAACTCTATCTTTTTTTACTTGAGCAAAACTTATTTCGCTTGAACGAGAATACTCTAGAACGCCCAGTATAAAAAATATGTCTCGCTTGAGCGAGAAGTTCTGTACCACAACTTCTATTTTACCCAATAATAAAAGAATAAAAATGAGAGTGTTACATTGCATATCAATTAAAATTAAAATTTTATTTTAACAAAAAATTTATATTAACATTACAACAAATATATAATTTTAATTTTGATTAAAAATAATCACATTTTGTCCATATTTTAGTTCACCAACTACGCTCACCTTTTATGACAGTACCATATCCAAACCCAATATTAGTCGATGCACGAGGGTAAGGGTTCTTTCTTTGAATCCACGGTAACCCTCTACCCTAAAAACAATTGAATGTGGGTCATCTATGAAATTGGGCTTGCAAGGTAGAGTGGGCTAACAGAGAAGAATAGATAGTAAATTGCTGGATGAACGACACGTAGGCCTTCTTCTCTCTTCCCACTTCCCTTCCCTCGCACACACTCAACACAACCTCCCTCTCTCTCTCTGTCTGTTCCTTCTTTGCCCTTTGCCCTATTCAATCACCCAGATCTGTTCCCTCCATTTTCAGTAACCTTCTCTCTCTCTCTCTCTCTCTCTCTTCAATTAGATTAATGAAAACTTGACCCTTCTCTTCTCTCAGATTCACTTTTCTTTCTTCATAAATACTTGGTGTTATAGCTCAACAATGCTCGCTTCATAATTCGGTATAGCTTGGGTTAGCCATTAGCTTTCTGGAATTTATTATCGCAAGTTCTAACCTTTTTTCAAATTATTGTATCCGATAGCACGATCTATTATTACTCTTCTTGAAATTTTTTATTTTGTATTCTATCTTTCTTTTTTTCGTTTGTCGCATATACTAATGGTTTGATGAAGTTGCTGTTACAGTGTTTAAAATTAAGTTGGGAATTTTGAGTTTAAATTGAAAATAATGATATTATTTTTTCTGCGTTGAACTTGAACCTAGTTTCCAAATTAGGGAATTATTATGAACTGTAGAGAGCTTGGTACGTATCTCTCTTTAACAGGATGGTTCTCTGATGGGAAAGGATCCAAATCCGACGCTAAATTGTTAGAAGCCTAATAGGATTGATACACATAGTGGTTATTTCTTGATTCAGCTTCTTATGGATATGCAATTGGTTCCCTTCAATTTAGGAAGAACCTATACTTTAAGGCCCATAGGTTAAATAGTTTTTTTTGTTGTTTTCTCTTGTACCATTTGGTTGACGGCACACATGAGACAGCATAAGTTTTTGTGCGTCTATGATGCAGACTTTGGAAATTTTTTGTTTTCTAGATAGAGTTATATCGATATGCTTGCATAAAATTCTAACATACAAGTATACGTCTCTCCTCTTCCCCTATCCAAACTGTTTGTTTGGATGATGAGAATAAATTTGTAGTAGTTTAATCTTTGAAAATTTATTCTTGCTGTAAACCTTTGTTAAAAGGGCTTAAGTGTCTTATAACTGAAGCAAAACAATATGTAATTGGTTTGATTATTCTGACTCTAATTTTATTTTATACTTAAATTATTGTTGGTTATTTGGCTACCCCTGAATTTCTGCTGATGGAGTATTATAATTTATAATTCTTGTTAAATGTTCTCCTATGTGATTGGACTCCCTTTAGTAGTATTATGGTAGTTTTTATTATTCATTTAATTGAAAAGATCAATCTCAGTTAGAAAGAATGTATAAATATAATTAGTGTGATTGGTTTTTGTTTTCTGCTCACTTTAAAGCTCTGCAAACGAGTGTGAGCGTGTACACTCACACACACAAGTTGAAAGGAATGTAATGTGCCTAGAGTGTCCTAGCAAAAAAGATAATTATTGGTTAATAATTCTAGATACCACTTAAAAACCTCTTAATTAGTTAATGGCTATGTTTTCCAGGCATTGTTTGTATGAACACTTTTGGTGATCCTGGGTATTATATACACTGTATTCAGATTAGGATCCTCTCCTTTTACAAATAAAGATATGTGGTCATGTTTTGTGAAATCTGAGTCACTTGTTTTTGTGAAAAGCATATGAACGGTTTAAAAATAAACATACCCATACTTTTGTTAAAGACGCCGTTCTACTAACTGATTTTTCAAATATGTCTTGTGACTTTCCCATTTGACCTTGCTAATGCGGTCTTCCAATGTCCACTTGAAATTTCAAACTTCTTTGGAACGAAACTGGGAATATTCATTCAACCATTTTCTCCTCCTTAAGTTGTTTATTTTTTTGAGTTTGCTGACAATGCTGTCAATCTTTTGGTTGAACACAAGAGTTCATTCCTACTAATCCCATTCTTGCTTCAACAATACTCCACAAATATTGCTTACTAGTTACTACATTCACCCATGATATGCTAACTATTTTTTGCTAGTTTCCACATACCAATAATCATTATTCTAAAGTTAGAATTACAAATCAACAACGGTTTTGATTGAGAATAATATTTACTTAAGATTTGAAAAATTAGCATCTACAAATAAATACAAGGAGAAATAAATAGCTCTTTCAGTTGAGACATCAGCCATTCCGTTTGCTTCCACAGTAGCAACCTTTCTTGCTGATATAACGTCACTCATTGGAACACATACTCCCCTGGATCAATTGTTAGACCACTGCACACCTCATCCAACCACCGCCATGCATTGTTGGAACAGTTCTTAGCCAGCGTCTCTCTTCAGTTAAGCCACCGGTCAGTAGTGTGAATTCCACACGACTATCTTGCTGTTCGGCCTATGTAGCCTTCACCAAACATTGCTGCATCAACTGCCTCATTCCAATGAAACTTGCTGAATCTTGTTGACTTCTGTGGATTGGGACTTTCTAGACCATTTTGTGCCTCTACTTCACATCAAAGAAGTGTGAAGCTGCCATCTCTGGTCAGGGAGAAGTAGGATTTGTGGTGGCTGTTCTTGAAGTTAGTGGAAGACTACTAATGCGAGAGAGTCACGTTGGAAAAAATATTAATAAAAAAGTGTATTTAATGAAGAAATAATGTGTTGTTTTTTCAAACCATTGAAGCTTCTAATTGAAATAAATGGTCCAGATTTTACACACATGACCACATGATGTTTCTGCACAAAAGAAGAGGATCCTAATCCATAAGTATTCTGGTTATTGATTCTGTAGCAATGATTTGGATTGGACTGAATTACATTTTTAATAAAATGAGATTTTTTTTTACAACTAATCTGTTCATTCTTTTTATACCAAAACAAATGCATCTGCATTTATAGGACTATCTTCAACATTTGTTCCATGGTCCAAATCCTAGCTATTTTTTGTCGTTTTTTGGGTAACTCATAACAAGTTAGCAAATCCGTGAGTCACTTATCTGTTGTCTTTTGTTGGAAATGCATGCTCCCCTGCCTTCACTTTGCTGTATACAGCCTGTCTTGGGAGGATTCCTATTTGTCTTGCATTATATTCCTTCTGTCTCTCTTTCAAAAAGTCTTCTTTTATGTAAGTTCTTAGAAATAAAACATAAGAAATTGTAGTATCTATAGTTGTTAATCGTCTTAACATATGGACGTTTGCAGGTGCATCACATCTTAGCTTTAAGGAATCACAAACTGTAGATACTGTTAGTACTCAATATGGAGCTGAGTTCTATTAAAGATGCTTTTGACCGTGTTACTAAGAAGCAAAAGTTATCTAGTTCCAAGACTCAAGAAGTGATTGATCAGATCAGACAGGAAATTGTGAGTGTTTTAGACATGATGCAGTCAGTGAATAACACTGACCATGAACTTGACTATAAAACTGTTCTCAATGATCTTAAGGCCACTTTACTAAAAATAGCTCCACTTAGTCATATGGAAGGTTCACAGAAGGAGCTAAATGTAGCACTCAGCAAGTATGGGAAACTTCTTGAGAAATATTTCAACCCTGATATATCCAAGGCTTACAGAAATATTGACTTTGATGTACATACGCTAAACCAAATAATTGCCAACCATTTTTATCGCCAGGGCCTTTTTGATATAGGGGACCATTTTATGAGTGTGGTTGGAGAGCCTGAATCTGCTGCCATTATGAAATCTCCATTCTTAGAAATGTATCAAATACTTGAAGCCATGCAGAATCAGAACCTGGAGCCAGCTCTCAACTGGGCTGCCACAAATTATGAAAAACTCACTCAAAGTGGATCTGACATTGTATTGAAACTTCACTCCATGCAATTTGTGAAAATTCTCCAAAATGGAAGTAGAGATGAAGCTCTTCATTATGCTCGAACTCACCTTTCTCCTTTTGCCTCCAGTCACATGGCCGATATCCAGAAGCTTATGGGTTGTCTTCTATGGACCGGAAAGCTTGATCGATGTCCATATCACGCATTGCTATCCCCGTCTAACTGGGATAAGTTGGCTGAGGAAATTAAAAGGCAGTTTTGCAATCTTTTGGGACAGTCATATAACTGTCCTTTGAGTGTGACTGTAGCAGCAGGGGTCCAGGTTTTGCCACCTCTCCTTAAATTTATGAATGTCATGGCAGGGAAGAAGCAAGAATGGCAGTCTATGAACCAGTTACCAGTGCCTGTTGAGTTGGACCGTGAGTTCCAGTACCATTCCATTTTTGTTTGTCCTGTCACAAAAGAACAAGCAACTGAGGATAACCCTCCGATGTTGATGGCCTGTGGCCATGTCCTCTGTAAGCAGTCTATCTTGAAGATGTCCAAGAACAGCACAAAAGTGTTCAAGTGCCCATATTGTCCCTATGATATTGATGCAGCACAGTGCAGGCAACTATATTTCTGATGTTGATGGATTTATATGAAACTCTCTATAAACTGAATCATGTGTTAGCATAGATGTACCTGTGTATGGCGATTTCAGAAGCCCATGCCTTGTTATGATGTCTGTATGTTTGGTAAATTTGTTGTAAATAAAAATTCTTTTTTATTTGGATATGACCGGCAAGTCCTTCATTAATTAGCTGCAATCATTTCAATAATCTTTGATTCAGATAAATTGGATTTTCCGTTCCCCTTGGATCAATGGCTGAAATTACAAAGATTCCTTCTGATATGGAGTCATTAGGCGTCATAGCTAACATGTTAGAATGATGAGGGTAAATTTTCCCTCTAAAAGACGCTTCAAATCATTACTTCTGCAGTTTTAATTTCCATTATGTCATACATTGTCGTGGTTATCACAACGATCTAAAAGGGCGTATCAAACAACTTACATTTTTTGTTACCCTGGCTCGATTGGTAATAGGGAGAAAAGTAACTTCACATGAACGTATTCACAATTTTTCTTAAGAAAATTGGCCTAATATCGTTAATCAGTTTCGTCGCCATGCGCCTCAGAAGAATATTTAGTAGTTCTAGGGGTTTAGAAGAATATTATGTACATAAATAAAAGTTATATTTGAGTAAATTCTTGATAGAGGAGAATTTAAATATATAGTTATATGTTCTTTGAAAGTTATATTATATAGTTGGGTAGTGTAAAAGAGAATTTGTCGGGCTGATGGTTAGGACATATCCCATAACTCACTTTGAATAAGTTATGACCTATTAAAAAGTTTAAAGTATTATTAATAATATATATATATATATATATATATATATATATATAAAATTTATTCGATGAACTAAAGGTTTATGAATAATGCTAGAAACACACCTCTTTAATACATTTTTTTAATACACTCTCTACTATTAATTAAAATTTATTAAAAGTTACAAAAAAGAAAATACATCTCATTCTTTCTTATTCTTAAATTAAAGTTTTTTTTCTCATTCTTTTATAATTTTTAATAAATTTTAATAATGAATAATAAAGAATATGTTAAATAATTTGTTGTTAACATTTTTTAAATTTTATATCAATAATATAATGATGTTATTCCATAATTTTTTAAATGAAAAAATTTGAATTAATTGATTCACACCAAACCACTAAACATTAATTTGGTTTAATTCAGATTTCATAATATATTTCATCGTTTTCCATAGATTTTTGCTTCCCATAACTCTTCTATCTCTCAACAAATTTGAGACCCAAGTCAATTAATTGTCCAACTTTATTGCGCAGATGAGAAGGGTTCTTCTTTAAAATAATTTGCAGTCCTTAAAAAATATTAGAAATAATTAATCTAAAAAACGTTAAACATTATCTTTAAAGATATATATGTGATATGGTATAATTTCTTAAATTTTAAGAGACATTTTATGACCTCAATACGTGAACTAACAATACAAATAAAAAAATTTATTAAGTCGTCATAAAAAAAAAAAAGGAAGAGAAGATCAAGAGAGGAGTACAAGGGAGAGTAAAATAATTATTGTAGAAATCATACAGCAAAAAAATTATAAAGATTAAATAATCATCAGAATACTAATAATACACTCTCTAACATATTCTTTTTTAACTCACCATCAATTGCTGGCTAAAATTTATTAAAAAAATAAAAAGTATTAAACAGAAATATTAATTTAAGAGTGAAAAAGGGTGAGTTATTTTTAATTTTCTAAAGTGGTATCAAAGTTAATTATAAATATGATATTGAATTACTTTTGAATTAAAAAGAAAATAAAATACTTCTAAAAAAGAACTACAATTTTGCGATTCTAAAATAAAAGTTTATAAATGTTAAAGCAATTTTTCCTTTAAGAGACATCTTTTTTAGATTGAGTCATGGGCCTAAAATTTAAGAGGATGATTTAAAAATAAGAGACGGAGTTGTGATTGTTAGATAGAATTTTATAAAGTCAAATTAGTCTACCTACAAAATAGGTTAGAATAAATCAAAATTTTAACTCAATTTTAGATAAAATAAATTCTAAAATTATAAAAGTGTTTAATCAACATAAGATTATACTCTATTAAAACTACTGAAATACTCAAAACAAACAGCAATTCTCACATATTTCAAAATGTTTTAAATAAAACACTTTAAAAAAATTAAAGAAGAAATTTTCTTGAATTAACATTATTGCGGGTGTAAATACATAGAATTTAGTGTCGTTTGTACTATAAATCAAATTTTAGACTCATAAAAATAATATACAAATAAGTTGATGAAATAAATTTTTATGAACTAAAAACACCTTAGTGTATGTTAGAAGTCCATCAATCACATTATATTTTTACAAATTTTTATTCCTCACGATTTTTTTATTTATGGTATTTCGTGTTTTAAAATCATGTAGGAACCTAATAGTTTATGAGTGCTCTAGGAATTTAGCTACAATTCTATAAGAGCAATGAGTGAATGTGAACTATACATCATCTGTAAGGACTTTAAAAATTATTAAATGTTGAGCTTCTCAATAAATATTATTTATCACTTTTTCACTCACCACAAGAAGAAACAAAAATAACAGCACTATCAAAATTAATAAGTGACTTGTTATTACATGTGTAAACAATTTTAATGAAATTTTCAATAAATTCTATTATCGATGTTTTATTAAATAGCATTTTATTTTATAAGAAGTAGTCCAATTTATTTTGATCTCATGATAATAATTCCTTTACAAAATTGTTATATGTCTGTTTACTCTTTTATTATAAAATTCAATATTTGTTTTCATTATTATCACTTGACAATCACATAATATAGATACGGAAAGATACATTTCTTCCATAAGCTGGATATACTAAGAAAAATTCTTAGCCAACCACCACAAGTTTTACCACCTAAAGAGTAATAAATTCAATCTCTATTTCTAATGTCAAACTATGTAGGTGATCTACTTTCCAGAGGCTTTACCTCTTTTGAGAAAAAAAAATCCATTTATAAATTTATTCCCACAAGAGTCAAATTTATTTAACTTCACTACATTATTTTAACAAAATAAAAAATTCATTATATAATTTCATTATTCATGATATCTCTCAAATATTTTATAAACTTAATGAGGATATAAAAGTATATTTGCAATAAATTTATATAAAATTCATGATCATTTGTAATGAACTCTTCAATAATTTGGACATACTCATGTTAATTAGGCAATAACATTGCCTATATTATCTTTTACTTAAATATAGCATCATAAAAAATTCTTAATAAAATATACCTTTAGATTATATATGTTTGGATTAATGGAAGTTTGGAAGAAAACAAGTGAAATAGAATGAACTAAAATGGAATAAAAAATGGAAGATAATATATATTGTTGTAGATTTTGTTTTCACATATATGTTAGACAAAAATGCATTGAGTCCTGCAGTAGCCAATAGTTACGGGTATTAATTCTACTAATTAAGACAAGAATGCATATTTTCATTTGATAACTTTGTACAAATAACCAAACATACTAAGTATTATTCTCACAAGAGAGTATGTATAATCATAATAATAATAATAATAATAACAACATAGAAATCAAGTTTGAAAGGATTAAAAGACAATGTGCATGAAAACAATAGAATATTTTGAGAAAATAATTGTTCATGCATTTCCTTGAACGCATAATAGGCATAAGAAAAAAGCATGTTCAAGAGGCACATTTTAGAATTGAACTTTCTACTCAATTTCAAATTTAAGTTGAAGAAAATCCATCCTACTTAGTGCACATTACGGGTGAAGCATCTTATCGTTAGTGGATTTTCTTAGATGATTTGACCATTTGATTTGTAGATCAATACTCACGAATTGTAAAGCCCCACACATATATAGCGAGCACAGAAAATTTAGGTTTTTAAGATTGTTTTAAAAAATAGTTTGAGGTGTGCAATAATAATAGATTGTTGAAAAAAGACCTAACAATCACAGAAAAAATAATATGGAACACGTGAGATAATATATTAAAATATTGATTTAGGTATGTGACAATCGCTAAGATTTAAATAGGTCCTTTTAAAAATAATTAAAGTACATCAAGTGACAAAAATAAAACTTTTATTGACTCTAAAAAAAATAAGGAAGAACAAGATGGAAAGAGAGGAAGCGTGATGAAGATAAAAATAAAAAGAAATTAGGAGAAAGAGAGAAATAGTGATTGTTATGTTGAACAGAGTTTTATTAAATCTACATATTCAACAATATAATTAGTTAAATCAAGTCAAAATCTTACCTCAAAATTAAAACAAATTATTTAACTAATGTAAAATAAAATTCTATTAAAATTTTTGAAATTTGCAAAATATTCAATAGAGTCTCTTCGCATCAAATATGAAACAAGTAATGTTAAAAGGAGTGTATTAGCGTCACCAGAACAATGATGGGTCCTTGAGAATAAGGTTGATTACATTATAATATCAGCTATGGGATAAGATTTTTCTTTTTCTTTTTGGTTTGAGATAATGATATTAATGTTGAGAACAATGAGAAGCAGTTTTTCTACTTGGATCATGTTGAAGATATACAAAATATTAACTAGTGTCCCAAAAGTATTCATTCATTATCAGAACCCTCAAAATAAAGCGTACCACACACACACTTACATGACTATAATTATTGTTTCCATATTAAGAATCCGAGGGACCAATTATGGAGCGCATTAATCAGCTTTGCTCCAGGCAAGTCGTGCCAAATCATAAGGGGTTCAGAGTTCTCTCTTACTGATGTGGTAGTCTTTAAATGCAAAATACAAAAACCATATAAATTATAAGGTGACAAAAAGTGAAATTCAACAAGTTTCTTATTATCACAAAATCATATGTAACTTAAAAAGAAATGTTCAATCTCTTCGATGTTACGAAAACTTGAAATAGTTTATATTCTAGGCTGTTATTCTATTATTGAACTGGGATCCCAAAAACTGTCCATGAACTCATCAACATAATTACGTTGCGGACAGAAAGCAAAGGGAATGCCAAATTGCCATTGATGATTTGACGCACCACCGTCTTAAGATTTGTTTGCATTGCACATTCTTTTTCTTCATAAAGAGCAGACACGTGACACTATGAAACTCAATAACAGATAAGCATTTCCAATAAAAGTTAGGGTACAATTACATGAATCTCATCATACAAGTACGCACACTTTGAAATAGTACTTTATCCTAAAAAATTGTGCATGCTAAAAAGAAGGGAAGGAAGAGAACATGCACGCACCATATTTTCTTGTACTTGAAATTTGTATGGAATAAAATGAATACTTCTCATTAGTGGGATAGTCTCTTTCATCATAATTTTAGTTGCTTACCATCACTTCGCATATTTGAAGTTATTGTTTGGCACCATGGAAGCAAAACCCCACTTAGTGCGTTACACATGAATAGCACCGAGCAAAATTTAGATGATAAGATTTTCACTTGGGTGTACTTGAATATGAGGAGGTGTCAACAAAAATCTCAGATACGTTGGTTTCAGATAGGATAGGGAAAGCAAACCCCTCCATTCTAAAGAATTTCAAAGTTCAATCACCAATGCCATCGATATAATGCCAAAAAATTTGTAAGTACTTGACATCGTCCTTTGTCTGAGTCTGAAATGAGACCCACCATCTGGCTTTTCAGGACGCTACTAGAGAGGTAACAGCTCATACAACCATACAAAAACCCCTGCTGCGCGCCTAACACTCTATTTTAACATTTTGCTTCATCAAACCCAACGCCCGTTGCTATTAAACATTCTAAATTTAAGGTTTAATTTAACAATGCGTCGTATTTGAAAACATAAAGAAGCATAATACAACCCCATTAGATTCATGCTTTATTATATCTAACCTAATAAATTTTTTTACTATCGTATAAAATAGACCTAAAATACAAAACTATTTCTTATTTTAAAATATAAAGTGTTTAATAATTTATTTATTTACTTAATAATTAAAATGTATAAAAATAAAAAGATTAAAATGATTCTATTTCTAGTTCACTGCATAGCCAATCTCACGTAGCTATCACAATCCGATCCTTTTCTATGAGGAAAAGGGCCAAGCCGTCAAGTACCTCGTCCTTATTATGGATTTTGTGCCATGTTCATCTTGCACTTCCTTAATTCTTTTTTTTATTCTACAAAAATACTGTTATTAAGACAACAAAAACGCATTTTTATTAATATTTTATTTTCTCCCTCTACAAAGTACAAACTACAAAAAGGAAAAAAAACAATAATAAAAAATTCAAAATCTGGCATCCTCGAATCCATGTAAATCACTGACTCTGTTCATAGACTTTCTCATGATAGCCACTTTAGCCAACCTCTCGGCTACTCTCCAAGCCGACATCGGGGTAAGGGGCTCAACCTTTTCCTCCACGGAATTATTACTCCTCATCGGCTTTTGGCATCGAAGCTCGGCTTGTTCCGCTTCAAGCCAGCGCAAGCAATCACCACCGTGTTCCTGGCTCGACTGCATCATCGAAGCTCGAGCCGAGGCGACCAAGTGAAGAGCTCCAGACACGTCGTTGCGAGCCACCAACCGTCTCGACTCGGCTACGGCTCGAGCACTGACGTGGAGGCACCTCAACCGTTCAATCATAGGGTTAGACGATCGAACCGTGTGGGGTCGGGGAAACACGAACTCACGCTCCTTGGAATGCACAAGCTCTTGAGTGAAGGGATCACGATGAGAAGACCGTACGGAAATAAAATGATGGTGGGACCCACGCGACGCTGTTCCAGCTGGCACTTTCAACTCCACCATTAACTCCCTCTCCTCCGCCGCATACATATCGCCCATCACGGCGGAATCCGGCGATAGAGCGGCGGTAAAACACTTAGCCAAAGAATACACGGCGATGATCTCCGCCGTGGCCGAGCGCGACGCTGGTTTTAATTCGAGCCTGAGGTCTTGCGCAACCACGCTCAACAAACTCTCCACGCGGTTTGAGAATTCGCTGTCTTGCTGCACGTGGCCACACGCGCCATCACGATAGTATCTCAGAGAATGAACCGGGAAGCGCGAGGAGGAGAGTCTATGATCCTCGTGACCGTTTGTGAGGAGAATGATTTTTGCGACGGGGTTCTTCTGCCGTCGATCTTCCAGAACCTTCGCAGCTTTCTTCAGGGCATCGTTTTTCGCCGGTGTTGCGTCGCGGCGAAGTTCAATCGCTGCCAAGGCGTCAACAACACGCCGCGCCGCCGTCTGGCCGCGGCCGGTCATCCTTCGCAGCGGAAACAACCGCTTAGAACCGCCGGAAAATGCAACGACGGAGAGACGGTCGGCAGAGCCGAGCGAGGAGATCACAGCTTGCATCGAATGTTTCAGCATCCGAAGCTCTTCGCCGGAGGCGGTCACGCCGACGTCGAGTACCGTTACGAGGTCCACCGGTGGCCGATTAACCGCCGCATTACGCGGCGGAGCCTTCACTTTTAACACCGCAACGTATGTCTCAGCGCTCCGATTGGACGCTACAATAGCAGCCTCTGGAGAGAAGCAGGCGTCGATGTTTCTGGTTTTGAGCGATGACGAGAGATTGAATCCCGTTTGTTCTCCGTTTAGTTCATCATCACCTTCTTCTTCTTCGTTTTCAACGGATTCGGGTATGGGGTTGAAACGGGAGATGGACGTGGGTGACATGAGTGGCTCGTCGTCGTTGTAAATGTGGGGCTTCAACGAATTGGTCGTTTTGACGTGCTGTGCTCTGTTTTCGTCGACGTTTTGCAGTTCTTTCCAGGTGGTGCGGCAGACAGGGCACGTTAGCATTTGCTGCTTTTTCACGTGAGCTGCTATGCATGGGAAGTGAAAGATGTGAGAGCATTCCGCTGTGAATATTGCTTTTCCTTCTCCGGTTTTCCCACTCTGAGTGCAGATTCCACATAGGTTCTGCGCAAAGCCAAAAGAAGAAAAAAAAAGAATTAGAATAAAAGTGAGAATGAATAAAATGATAAAATGATAAAATGATAAAATGATAAAATGATAAAATGAAAGGGGTAGTGTGATTGGGTTTACTTTGGATAGGCGTAGGGTGGCTTTGAGAAGAGAGAAGGTTGAGGGTGAGTTGGGGGAAGAGGGAAACGACGTGGGGCTCTTGCGTTTGTTGGGAGAGGGAGTTCTGGCATTGTTGCATTGTTGTCTGGGGCTGTTGGAAAGGGGTGAATTGGAGAGTGAAGTTCGGCAACGGAGGGGACGAGAGGGAATTGTTGCAATGGCGTGGTTGTCTGGTTCTCTGTTTTCCGGCATCGTTTTTGATGTGTTAAACGTCTTTCTCCATCCATAAACCATTTTCTCAACCTGAGGATTTTGATGGTTTTGTCGAAGGGAATCCGAGAAATATGCTTTTGCACTTCCAAGTGAGAGACCCTTTCCCCGTTCTTATTTCCTTCTTTCCTTCCTTATTGCTATTTATAAATATTTCTCCTTTCGACAGTCCCCTGGAAAGCTTTTGATGTTACCTTCAAAATTCAAAATATCATTCCAAGCTGCGTTTCGTTTGTTTTTAGTTCAGATTTTTTTTTTAGTTGCTCTATATTACCTTTTATTTTATTTTACCTTTAGTTTCATGCTTTTCGTTTGTGTATCATTAAATTAAAATAATTTTTAATAAATAATTAATATTGTATTGTATGATTATTTTTAAATATAAATGAAACTTATAAAATCAAAAGAATAACTACTATAATTATTAGTAATAAATTTTTATTATATTAAATAAATTATAAAATATATAAAATTTAAATTAATGTTAAATTAAAAATAAATAAACATATGATATAAAAAATTATTTAGCATAATAAAAAATAAATTAATTCCTAAAGATACTTATATGCAAAAATTATTTTAAAAATTATTTTTATTCAAGAATCGATAAACATATCAAATTAAAAATTAGTAATATATAAAGGTTAATATGAAAATAATAATTAAAAATTATAAAAGAAAACATATAAATGATACAACTTTTTAATAATCATTATATCAAATAAAAATGAAATCAAATGAGCTAAACATACTCCTAGTTTGTCTTTCATTCTTTTTTTTCAAGGATATAGTTAAAATTTTTATTTTATATATTAGTTTAAAAATTCTTACACTCAATCTGAGTCTTTCATTTAATTTATATATAACGGGTTATAATTTATTACTTCACTTACCGTTAGATGTAAGTTAAATGAAAGACTTATATCAAGTATAAGAGTTTTTAGACTTACACTAGTATGTTTTCCTATATATATATTATTTTTGCTATTCAACTAGGCTTAGAAGTCCAAACAAAACAAAGCAAACTACCTAAAGAGTCTAAACGTAACAAAGGTAATAAGAGAGGAGACTCTTATCAAAATAAGAGGCAACTTTAGGAGAATCTAGGCCTAGTTTGACAAGCATATCAGTACACTTATTTTTCTCTCTTAAAATATGCCTAAACCTAATAAAAGGAATATATTTCAAAATATTCCTATAGTATCAATTAAATAGAAAGATGGATGATTACAACTTTGAATACTCAACATTAAGTATAATGTTTCATTAGAATCAGTTTCTATCCAAATTATAGAAATGTTATTTTGTATCACTAATTGCAATCCAAAAAGTATGCTCCATAGTGCAACATCTAAGAAAGAGCAAAAGGTAAGACCCCTATAAAATCTAGCTATAACTTGGCTCTAGTTGTATTTGATTAAACCTCCACAACCAACACTTCCATGAGCCTAAGAGAGTGTTCCATCCATATTAAGTTTTATGTGATTCAGAGGGAGAGGATACCATTTTTTTATGGCTTTGGTTGTCCAAAGGATTCTCAGCCATATTAATATTAGCCCTAAACAATAATTCAAATAATCAAATTCATAGTAAATTTTATGATATAAAGAATTAGAGAAAACTGTTGAAGACTAAAAAATGACATTATTCCTTTTTCTCCAAATATGTCAAATTGCAATACCAAACAACTTGCTCTAATAGGGAAGACTATTGAATTTAGGATTAGATAAGGTAGTAAAGAGCCAGTAAGACAGACCAAGATAAAAAAAAAAAAAAAAAAAAAAAAAAAGAAGGCTCAATCAGGCAAGATAAAATAGTCCTATATTTTTTTGGCAAACCAACAATCTTTAAGGATATGAATAATAGTTTCAGGGGTTGTATCACACCTAGGACAGAGGGCAGATCTAGCCATGCCTCTCTTACATCTTTCTTCATTTATTAATAGCTTACAATAAGCTCCTTCGATAAATAGAGTAATTTTAGAAGGTCATCCCACTTCCAGACTATTTTGAAAATATTTTTATTAGGGTCATATTGTTGTTCAGGAATATTAAACAAATTATAAACAATTTTAATTGAAAATAAATCATTATTTGAAAGATTCTAGAAAATAAGGTCCTGCCCTTTGCTCGCTTTAGGGGGGTTTGACCTAGGTAATGGAGTCATATATGAGGTCAGGGAGGATCTTCCTTATCTTTCTCTAAGATAAGGCTTAAGGCAAACTAAGCCAACTTCTAGACATGAGGGATCTAATTATTTCTTAAGAATTTGACTATCAAACTATCACCAATGACCCAACCCAAACCCTAAGAAAATGAATAAAAAACAGTGGTTAAACTCCTCCAAAGATGGGAGGTCCTCATGTTATTACCTATATCAAGGTCATTACCAAGGTTAAACATATACTTTTTATCATGACCTAGGCCCATAGCTTATTAGGAGATTTAATCAATCTCCAAAGTAATTTCATCATGGAAGTTTTATGAAGCAAAGAAAGGTCCCTAAAACCCAAGCCTCAAACACTCTTGTGCTTACAAATTTGATCCTAATTGATTAGATGACATTTTTTTCTTAAAGAATCCCAAATAAATTTTTTGCATATGCTATTAATTTCTTTACACACAGAATTAGGGATGAGCATAGTTTGCATTATATAAGAAGGAATAGTTATGAGGCAAGACTGGTCCAGAGTGACCTTTCCAGCTAGGGATAAAAAGTATTCATCTTTCATAAGGCAAGTTTGTTTTTTTTTCTTCTAATTTTATCAATAATGAAAGCAAATTCTTTTATGCCAGGTTTTTGGTTTCTGATAGGGATACTTAAGTAATTACCAAACTTACTAGAACTTTTAATTCCTTAATAATTGCTAATTTCCTAAGCAGTGATAGGGTTAGTATTGTTAAAGAAGAATAAGGAAGATTATTCCTTACTAAATAAAAGACCTGAAGCCAAATAGAAGTCAGTTAAGACATTATGGATAATGGTAGCTTGGTGATGATAAGCCTTAGCCACTAAAATTATATCATCAACAAAAATAAGTGAGAGATGTTAGGTCCAAGATTGCTGCAAGAAAAAAGGACCCAATTCTAATCTGTAATCCTATCCTAGATTAAGTGGGCATGTCTTTCTAAACATAACACAAAAATATAGGGGAAAATGGGATCCTCTTACCTAATACTTCTGCTTGGGATAAAAGATTGAGTATTATTGTTATTCTAGTTAATAGACATTGATTTTGATGATATACACTAATGGATAAGATCTACTAATTATGCTTTAAATCCAATTTTCTAAAGAGTATTAACAATGAAATTCCATCTAAGCTTGTCATAAGCCTTTTCAAGGTCTATTTTCATGATCATATAACCACTCCTGCATTTTAATTTGACAAAAGAGTGCAAGAGTTTTGGAAGGATAAAGGCATTATCAATGTCCTGTCTCCTAAGAATAAAACTAATTTGGTTGGCAGACACTAGGTGAGGCAAATACTCCCTAATACTATTGGCTAAATGTTTAGTAACAATTTTATAACTCACATTACATAAAGTGATAGGTCTGGAGTTTCTAATGTGTTCAAGGTTCTTAGATTTACGAATTAAGGTAATGGAGATTTCATTCACAACAATTATTTTCTTAAGGTTATTAAAAATGTCTGAGACAAAATTAAAAATACAAGATGTCAATACATTCTATTGGCTTTTAAAGAAAATAGCATGTAGCTCATCAAGGCTAGGAGATTTAAAATTTCCTATGCTAAATAGAGAGGCTCTCACTTCCTCCATTGACAAGCTAGAATGCACTATTTCTTTATCATAATCCCTAAGAGGAGGGAAAAAAAAAGTTATGTTGTTCAAATTAGAGTTATAAGGATTAAGTTGTTAAAGAAAGTCAAGGTTATGGATTTTAAAATTAAAATTAAAGGATCATACTCTCAGTTGTTATCATCATTTTTAAGGGTCTTAACCAAATTTTTTGGTCTACGAATTACAATAGCTTTATGGAAAAAGTTATTATTTCTATCATTGACCTAATCCACCTAGATCTGAAGTGATGATACTAGAAAATTTCTTCTTGGTCCAAAATTTACTGATAGTCTTTCCAAAGAGAAGACGTCAAATTAGTGAGAAAAAGATTGTCACATAGGCTAATTTATTGAAAATATGCTATTTTATATTGAATATATATATATATTATTAAAGATGTTCCCAAAGACAAATTTATTCCAGTCATAAATGTTACTTTTAAATCTATCTGCATTTTCATTTCAAAGGCTAGAAGATCTCTAAGAATTCTTAACCTAGCTAGAAAAATTATCATGATTAATCCATAAAACAAGAATTTGAAGCTCATGTTCCTATCTTTTACATTGTCCTTACTTCTAATTTTGAGCTAGAGGTTAGAATGGTCAGATTTTAACGGTGGAATATGAATAAAGGAGCTAGCTTAGAATAAAAGTCCAAAATTCAATAATTACAGGTCTATCAATCGTTTCTTTCATGTTTCCTCTTTGCTAGGTAAAAGGGTTACCCTTAGCTTCTCCAATGAAGGCTTATTAGCAACCTTCACTTTCTTTGTGTTTTGACTCATTTAATCAAGCTCCTCCGTTGAATGCTTTTCAACTTCCAAACACTCCATCCTGCAAAGGCCACCAGGATAGTGGTCTTCTTTTGGGATGACACCTTTTGGTAATCCTTGAGATCTTAAAGTAGGGTAAGAAGCCCTTATAGAATGTTGTTCCTTCTCTTTTCCTGAAAACTTGAGAATAGTCTTGGAGGAGTAAATGTCTGGATCTAATTTAAACATTTAATCATTGAATATTGACATATAGTATAATAATTTTATATATTATATTATTTTTAACATAAATAGATAAAATATTAAATAATTTTATATTAATCTAACACTTATAAACATTATTTATATAATAAAAATAAGTTAATAATTAATTTTAAAATAAAATTATCTAATTAATATCGTTAAATAGTATAAAAATATGTGTAATTCACGTTATTATAACTTGATGATTTTTATATTAGTATCAATCATTAATATCTTTCAATAACTTATTCCATACAACTTATATTCACTTTAATAGTATTCAATAACTTTTTTATTAACTAATTTTATTTTAAATTTAATCATTATATCCTTTTACACTTATAAAATTTTAGATAATTTAAATTATTTAATGTTTAATTCATTTGCATTAAAATTAATTTAATAGACTTTTAAAAGGAAATATTAACTAG